GAATACTTGACTAAAGTATTCCATTTGGGAACAAAAAATTGTTTCCTACCAATACTCAATTTTGGGGTGGGGTTGTAGGGGGTACCTAGGAAGTGAAATTTCATATTTGTCCACTGCATACATTTTTCTATATTTTTGATATGTTTTTCAACTGATATCAATACATAATATAAGACTAATTTAAAAACTGTTGCAATTTTTGAGATGTTTGGGCCTTTTATGAGCCCATTTGCTTGGCCTAATAATTCAAGATCAGATAAAGTAAAAAATACCGACTTGGGGCAAGGCTAAGGAAAAGGTAACTCACGTAGAAAATGGCATTTGAAGTTCAGAGATCATTCTCTTGATTTAATTAAAAGATGGCGATACTTCTATAAAAATGAATATATTATGTAATACAAACAACTTCGCCATCTTTCATTGACATTGATGCAAACTTGATATATAAAGCTTGACAGATCAAAAATGTTTTTTGATAACATTACAAGCTTTGATGTGGCTTGTTTGAGCTGTTTTTGGTGTCAACTGAAAGATAAAGTACTTAAATACTATGAAATTCAAACGTAAGACTTTATTTTGCCACAAAATGTTGAGAATATGCAAAGTGGGCCTTTAATATAAGGCTTGCTTAGATCTTCAATTAACTGCTATTCTCTGATTAGTCCAGCTCGACTAATAGCTCTTACAAAATTTCTAGCGAGTTTACACAACTATTTTCAAGACATCTTGCCAAATATGTTTGGGTTTACCCTTGTTTTCCAAAATGTATTGGAAGTAGATACAGGTAGGTCTCCATGAAAATGAAAACCATCAGTTCAGCACTAAGTCACTTATAAGCAAAAATGATTGCCCGTTCCAACTTTTCTTTTTCTTATTTAAAATCTGGTTCAAAAAATACATGTATAGTCTAAAAAGGCATGGCAATAACAAGGAAATGTGTAACGATTCTTTTACTTGGAATTTTCGGTACAGTACTGGTAACACTGGATACTAACAAATAAAGAATTCTGTGGGCTCAGGAGCGTTCCCACAAATTTGCAAGATAGACAGGAAGTTTAATAAATTTCGTTTGGCACAATATATAAAACCGACGTAAGTAGCTTAGCGAAAACCAATGGATTTACACTTGCCTTGCAAGACATCTTACATTTTAAGATGTCTCACAATGACTAAGGTTCTTAATGTTTTCACTGAGATGATAAACAAGACAATAATTAAGTACTGTATTTCAATATGGTGGAGAAACACAGAATCTTTGATTATTTAAAGCTGTGCCTGAAACATCACTCAAACCTAGTAAGTGACACTATTCCTCTGAGAAACATCCACAACAGCGACAGTTGATTTTGCTATCAACAGATTTTAATTCTGCTGTCATCAGCCAACTGTCAATCTGTAGGCATTATACTGTAGGCTTATACGTTTTACATGGTGACTGAATTCCAAATATTTCTCCACAGATTTAGACTACATTATAAAAGATTTCTAGAAAATTCAAACTGTTTTCAATTCAATTTTCAATTGTACCCCTGTGCATTGTAAAGCCAAATTACCCTAATTCGACAGTTCTGCTGAATAGAAAAAAGTAGTTTTAAAATATGAATGTAGTCCCAAATCAATTGTGATCATGACGAGTCAGTAAGCTAGTATGTACAGGTTCAAACCAGAGGGGGGGGGGGGGGGCAATAATGCCCAACGCCTCTGCCCTCCACAATTCAATAATTTATTATGCAAATAAATACAATTAACCTATTAAAAAACTTTTTACAATGATAACATGCCATTTCTTCTAAATATGGGTTTATTTGGGTTATCAGAAGGAAGATTTCGAGTCATGTGGTGTATTAATTTTGGCTTCATTTTTGTGAATTTCAATTTCTGACAGCAGAGATGGGGTAGTGTCACAATTAACCAATTATTTCAAAAAGCAGATGTTTGAGTTTAGTGTCAAAAAGTAGCATAGAATGGCTTTTGGCCTTTTGAACCTCAGATAGGCAAGTGGGGCCACATAAATCCATAACATAGGCCCTTTTGCCTATTGACTAGTATGTTAACGTGGATTAGTCAAGGGAGTGAGGATTTAATTAGGACTGTTTTGCCTAAGTCAGTCACGGACCTCTGCCAGATTACCTCTTCTTCAGTGGTGTCTAAGCTCAATAAATATACTCAAGGAAAAGACACGTAATCTTCAGAAAATTTATATTTCCTTGATTTTGGAGTCAGTTTATCAATAAATATCACATGTTATACCTCAAACGATGTGTACTGTTGTTAGTCTCATCTCCAATCACTAAAGCCACACATTCAAGAAAGCGTCTGTTGATAAAAGCATAAAATAAGCGAGCGTATATTTAATGGAGTGCTTCGGCTATATCCGTCGTTCAAATATTTATTCCCGAAGTCAAATGTCTTTTCAGAGAATATGACGCCACTCCGGATGACGTCACATCAGAGATTACCGAAAAAACCATGACATATCTTTAAAATCCTGTAGAAACAATAACAAAGGTTTGTTAGGCTACACGATCTTTACTTTCATTGGCTGTTTGTTGCGATGTGACGTAATTTGAGAGACGAACAACATTGGACATTGCCGGAAATTACCGAAACACTCCATTATCTTTACGCTCTGAAAATTTGAAAGAAATGTCCCGGGAAAATTTGATTTACAGCGTCAATAATTGATATCATGGTATCACGCAACCATTCAAACTAATACACGAAGAAGAGATTACAGGGTAAATATTGATCAATCAATGTCTGACAGATGGAAAAAATAAAGGTCAGTACGAGGGTCATATTTTTGGGTGGTCATTTTTTTGATGTAGCATTTTTGGCTTGTGTCTTATCTTCCCATTTATCCTTTGAGCCTACTACCAATAGGAGCTGGATCTGGCTCCGGATCTGTGAAGTCAGTGAACTTAATATTCTTTAAAAAATTGACACACACTGACTCAACATTATCGCATCCTACGACCCCTTTAGATTGTGGTCGTTCGCGCGTATAATTGGGCAGTCAATGTTTTTACAAAGTTGGAGAAAATACTACGCATTGCACACCTAAATGACCTACCTCGATACATTCCTTAGTATTTTAGAATTCTTTTTATGTTGTTAGATCGCCAATTGTATGGGTTTATCGGCAGAACAAAGAGATTTTAGTTTTTACATCGGAAATATATCAGCAATTTTCAAAATGTCGGAAGGGGAATTCCCCAGGGATTTCCCTTATGACTGGTGCATGCCGGGAACTGAATGGAGGAATTTGACGGTTGAAATAAGTTAAATATTACACGCAAATATTGCTATCAAAAACGAAAACCTCTTCGTTCTGCCGATAAACCCACACAATTGTGGATTCAACTACACGAAAAGAATGGTAAAATACCAAGGAATCTATTGAAATAGGTATCTTAAGGTCAGGGTGCATGATGGGAAATTTTCTGCATTCAATTGAGTCACATGTTATTTTTCAAACAAGAATCACTCCTTCCCTTTATTCACACATCCTAGTTTCCTGCATGAGAAAAATGCAAATTCTGCGCAGAAATTCTGCATGAAAAAGCCAAATTCTGCACCAAATTCTGCATGAAATCTAAAATTCTGCACCAAATTCTGCACGGGGAAAAGTGAAATTTTGTGGTTCAAGTATGTGCAAAAAATGAAATTCCACTCATGCTGCTTTCTTCAGCGATAATGGACAACTGCAGCAATAACACCAGATGCAATTTTAATCAATTAGCGACAAAACTTACCAAATGCTCACTTGTGAACTATCACGAAATTCGAAGTATCACGAAATTCCAGATCAATATGCAGGGAATTCAGATGTCGTTTATTTATATATGACGAAGTAAAACGCAAGAAGAAGCATGATTTATTGCGTTAGAATACAAAAGAATACAATATTAGACATATTATTGCAAAACAATTACGAGGGACAGTCATCGGTTTCAAATTTCGTGATTATGTTAGACGCAGTCTTACCTCTAAGTGCAAAGGCGGAAGTTCGAGAATTTAAAACAGATTTCAGATTTCCTCTTGAAAATCGGACAAAACACAAGTATCTGACAACAAACGAGCGGAGTCTTTGGGCGTTTAGGTGAGTGACAAATATGAGATGAGATGGTTGACTGGAAAATTCATGTTTTCCGCGAAATTCCGTGCCAAAACAAAAATTCTGCAAAAAAATGAAAATGCAAATTTCTGCGGTTTTTCTGCGGCGACGCGGAATCACGGAATACTAGGATGAGTGTTTATTGTCTATATCTTCCAGTTTTGCACAAAGAGTGCACTTATGTGCCTAGAAAAGACTTGTGAGAAGAATGTTTTGATAAACTGTATAAAAAATGAGAAAATTCAGTGGAAAAAAATCAGAAAATTTTCAGAAATTTTTCCACTGAATTTTCTCATTTTTTATACATTTTACAAAACAAACCTTCTCACAAGGCTTTTCTAGGCACAGAAGTGCAGTCTTTGTGCAAACTTGGAAGATGTAGACAATGTGGGGAAGGAGTTATTCATGTTTGAAAAATAACATGTGACTCAATTGAGGAATGCAGAAAATTTCCCAACATGCACCCTGTCCTTAAGTGTAAGAAGCGTAGAAAATTCTCCCATGTTGTAATCGTGCAGACAAAAGAATAAGACGTTCGCAAGACTAGAACGTAGAGATAGTCTTGGAACAAGATAACACTCAACACACAGCAAAAACAAAAAGGGAAAAGAAAACTTCACATTTAGCTTATCTTTACAGAGAATTGAGCGATTTATAAAGCGTAGCAGTACATGTGGTATTAAACACAACTAAATACATAAAGATTAAGGTAAACATGAGAACTTACCTTCGATATAGGTGAAATTTCAATCCATATTGTTCAGAGGACCTGCTTCCGCGTTGGAAAATAAACTCTCGTTCAAACTCTCGTATAATCTCATATAATGATTTCGTAAATATTATAAACAAATACATCAAAACTGTAATGAAAACACATACCTACATGTACATAGATACGCTCAGGAAAATTCCAGATATCATACCTGTATACTTTCTGAGATATGCTTATATTCTTTCTGCTGATTCTAGAAACCGGAAAACGGAAGTCGGCCATATTTTTTGCACACTGCCTGAAAATATTTTTGTCGATGAAGAACTATGACAATTTTCGTTTTTTCTGGCAAAAAGTCATCCAAAAGGGACTCTTAGGAGAAACTCTTCGTTAGAAATATATACCTGATCAATCGAAGAATAAGATGGCATCCGTACTAACAGAAAATTTGCGACAAACTCCAAAAGGTATGAGACTTAGAGTTTTTTTGTAATCTGGTTGCAGTGTTGCATAACTTAGCATTGGCATTGATCTCAGAATGTTCGCTGTTGTTTTCTGAATATTCTTGTTGTAGTTGTTGTTGTAGTGCATTTAATGTCGCTTTTCCTCGGCAGTTGGTCACTGTGTACTTTGTTTGTCTCTCGGTATTCTCACTCTGTACTTTTCACAGTTGCAAAGCTTTATAATTTATGAGTTTCACTTTTAATTATTACTATACCCTGTGCGTAGAGTATAGTTATAAAGATAAGACACTTATTCTAGTGAGAAGTTCATGTGGTTAAAACAGCGGTGGCGGTAGGCATATATTTTTGTGAGTCATCATGACTCAGGTAGTTTCAAAAAAGTGAGTCACAAGAAAAAAAGTTGAGTCAAAGCTATAAAAGTGTTTTTCTTGAGTAAAAATGCATACAAAATGTAGAAACCACATACAAAATCTATATTTTGATTTCGTGCATACCTTTAATTGTACTCTTATAGCACATTAACAACTAACAATTAATTAATTAGGCAATTGCAAGAAAAATGTCACTATTAATCATCTGATTATCTGGTCCAGCGAGTCATGGGTGTGAATGGAGTGGGAGAGGAGTTTCTCCCTGTGTGGAGTTACACAAATTGGGGTCAAAGCGTTTCATGTTGAAATTCAACATTTTTGCAATCATTCCAAAGTCTAAAACGGCAATATAAGTCCGACCACAATACTGGGCATCATTTAAATTGAATACGGTAGAATCTTGTAATTATAGCTGATCAAATGAAACCGAAAGTAGATTTGTTTTCATACCTAATTTATCATCATTACCCCCCTTAATGTGCGATCGACTGGATTTTCATGTGCCCATTATCTATCTTCATGGGATCAGGTTCAGATCTAGTGAATCGAAGATCTTAACTTGAAGGAGTTAATTGAAAATACTTGGTGAAAACTTACGATAGATCGGTCACTGTGAGCACCATTGATAAACCTACTGCGCATTACATCTGCGCATGCTGATGAAGGGGACGGCTCAAGGAAACTTGCTAACTTATCAAAAGGAATTTTGCGAACTTGCTAAGGAAACTAAAGGTTCGTAAATCTAGCGTGTGAACATTCAAGGGAAGATTTTATGCGGTAATTTAATATACGATCACTAAAATCCTTAGAAGGGAGTATGAAATTAATAAATTATTGTTCAATGTTATGTTCGTTTTATTGCATTTTTGATACGCCCCCGAGCAACGTGCTTCACGAGATAAACAAATCAAGGGATCGATCAATGTTTTCAAGTTTATCATTGAATCTGAATCACAGGGCTTTAAAAATTATATGAAATACCGAAATGAGAAAATGATCGGTAGGAAGGAGGCTCGATTGCGCTGAACGAAATGTTAGATTTCCGGAATTAGCAAAATTATAAATTTGATCAATCACGTATTTTCACGTATAGGGATCAATTTAACCAAGTACCAAGCGGGGATTTTGCATGTGAAACAAACATGCGTCAGAAAGACTCGGTAGACAATGAATATTTGCGTCAGAGTTGCAAAAATGTGAGTAAAAAACGTAAAAAATTGCGTTAACGCCACCTCTGTAAAATAACGAAATAATGAAATGTTACCATGTATCTACAGTTTGTTCTACAGTGGGGATCATAAAGAATTGCAAAAGCTATGAAAATTACATGCTGTCGCACATGTAATAAATTCTTACCTCAGTGTATTCAGTGCTCTATTTTCTCCGTCTTAGTAAGTCCAAATATAGTGGAATTTGTGTCCCTAATGACAAATAAGAACTTCAAAAGTTGAATAGACTAGAGTCCATTTCACTGTTTAACTGCATCAGTAAAAGGTAAAAAATAAGAAATCAAAATATCATTTTGCAATAATATATGGAAAAATATAATCCTTTTGTACATGAATGACATTTGTATATCTTGGATTGCTTCTAGTTTGGCTTATAAAGTGCGTGGCCTCTTATATTTGGATGTTTCTCTGCCATGTTATTTCAAATAAGATTAACATGGCTGAAATTCTTCAAATTACAAGACGGCACAGGCTTATTGCACAAAAAACTAAAAAATCTGAAATATACAAATGTCATTCATGTACATTATGAATATACTTTTCCATATATTATTGCACAATGGTCTCCCAATTCTTATTTTTGCCGTTCTACTGACGAAATGAAGCAGTGAAATGGACTCTAGATGCGAGTAGAAATGATCTTGATTTACTTCATAAAATATTCAAAATTCAGTCAAAGTGATGTCATATTTGAAAACTACATGTAAAAATACATCTAAAAATATGGTTTCGAAAATTGTTTATCAACTTTGAAAATTTAATATTTTTTGACTTCTAGTTCGGGTTGATTCCCCATAGACCCCATGTTACAAAATCACAAAAAGTGAAATATCTTTTCTTGTATTGGACATATAACATTTTCCTTTACTGGACATGCTTAAATTTGCATAATTATTCGATACATATAAGGGCTATATGAAAATTGAACCACTAAAACAGATGTAATTTAAGTTAAAGGGAACTTTCTACTATACCCGCCATGCTATCTGACCCGAGCGAGCCACCTGGTGGTGAAACTGGTAACTACCTACTCGCATTTGCGTTATTGGATATTCACATGTTATGCCGACTCTTCAAATGTTGAGGTGATTTTGTCGCCCGATTGCGCCGGAACGGAGGATTGGCTCCCAGAATGCAACATGACATGTGTCAGCTGTCAAAATGCTCTTCCGCCATTTTGAAACCTGTCATGAGTAAATACGGCTAACTGATGTTGCATTCTGGGAGTCAACCGTCCTTGGATAACAAACATGGCGATTCATGAAAACATTCATTCGATTTGGTAGGGATTTATCCATTATTTGCAGGTATGAAGCTTTGGATTCATTTATTGTGCTACTTTAGTGAACGGGAATTATTTTTCTACCGCTTGGGAGAGTTTGAGACACGAAACTTGGAAATAAGCTCATTGTGACAACTTGTGAACGTTGAGTTTTATTTTTGTCCCCCACTGTATGTCATCCCTCCTGCCAGGTTACATTGTGGAACGGAGCCAAACACGACACTGAAGGCAGTATTCTGACATTATAAAATCTAAATCTAAAAAATTTCCTATTTGCAGCCCCTTTGAGATTTCCAGAATCGAACGAAGTAGCGAATGTTGCGATCTTTCAACTTTAGTTCGTTGTTTTTCACCACTTTATGTGTATTTTCATTTAGGAGGTCTTATTTGAATGCATCATTTCAGGTCTTTATGAATCAATAGATCAATAAGCAGACTCAAAATACAATTTAGCAGTTTCTTTCGTTGCATACTGGGCCTGTTAGGCACGAAATACAATTTAGCAGTTTCGTTCGTTGCTTAAGCGACATCTGTTACATTGTAAATTTTGGGCCCAAAAAGGCCTAAAGGCCCAAAAAAGTGGGCCTTTTTTAGCATTACTTGTTTTTTAATTTTGGGCCAAATTTTGAAGCAAATAGACCTTAAATTTTCAAAACTTTTTCAAAATTTTTTTAAAAGTTTGGGCCCTCCTTTGTTGGTTCCCAGATCCGCCACTGTATACGTTCTGATTATGCCTGTTTATCAAATATTTATGAAAAAAGTAATCTAAGTTTACATTTTTGGTAATAAACTTTTAAAATTTAAATTTGCCAATTCGTCCATTCAGCATAAAAGCATATTTTTTGAAATTCAACAGGGCCATTTTTAATTAATCGGGCTACCAGATTCACTTAAAAAGTACTTACACTCAATTGTGTTGTGCCAGACAACTTGCCAGCGGTGTGCTTCTGACATTCTTCTGATAAAATCAAGTAAATATATCGAAATAAGGGGAAAGTTATTTTAAGTCTGGGAGAAAAATAGTGGAGTGAATACGAACGGCACAAATTTGCGTTCGGTCATTTGAAATAGCGAACAATTCATTTTCTTCCATGTTAATCTGTCATTGAACCAAATAAATATGCGTTCGATAAAGTTCTGCATATACAAACGACGTGAATTTACGATCGGTCAACTAAAATAACGAACGTTCGCTTTTCTTCCATGTAAATCTGTAATTGAAGCAAAGGAATATGCGTTCGATAAAACACTGCATAAGTGAAAATTTAAAAACAAACATAACTTCGACTTTTCGGTAAGATTTTGTTATTTTAAATCTTTTGAGGTGGAGAAACAACGTGTAGGGTTTGTCAGTGGCGCAAGGAATAACCCTGGGGCGCAATTGCAATTGTTTGGAGGTGCAGCGCCTCAGTAAGTTCAATGTAGGGAGAGCACAGACATAATAAAGTATTTTCATGGAACTTGTGTAAATATTTCTAAAATAATATCTGCTTTCAGAGAGTGACTATTTAACATGTGGCACATGCTGGACAGACTTCCCATTATCAGAGATCACTACATTTATACAACACAAGAAGATAGAATGTGATGATGATGAATCAACGGAAAATATTAATCCGGGTGAGAGCAATTCATGGCTTTATATAAAAACTATTTACATGTATTTGATTTACTTAGAAAGGAGAGTCGCCATGTGCCCTACATGAAATTTGTAATTGAATATGTTGTCTCTAACAAAACATATATTTTTATTAACTTCATTCGTATTGAACGATTAAGATTTTAAACATTTGTTAAACATTTATTATACTATGTACATCAATATAGCATATTATGTTTCAGGTGGTTTGTTATGTCAAACATGTCCACAGAAGTTCCTTACAGCCTGGAGTCTGGTGAAGCACGTTCAGGGGAAACACAATGTACCTATCTACAAACAAAGTGATCTCGATAAAAATCCCACCCCCAAGAATGCAACATCAAAAAGTTCGAAGGCAACAAATCCCACCCCCACAGCGGTTCCAAAAACCTTAGGAAGGACATCAACAGAGGATAATTTACAAAATGCTGACCGACGTTTAGTGATTGCATTGTCCCCAGATATGGGGGTCACACCAGGAAATGCGCTGCCAATCTCTAGGGACCAATTAATACCTGTAGGGGTCAATATTTTATCAAATAAGCAAGTCTTGAAAGTGCCAATTGCTACTGCTCATTCATCCGTCCCTGGTGTTCTTGGGGGGACATTATTGACATCCATTGCCCAAAGTGGACAATTACAAGGAACTTATGTGGGACCAATAAAACCAATACAGAGCTCCACATCTCAATCCACTCTTGTACAACAACAGGTCATGTCCCAGCCCAGCCAAATTATAACCAAAGTCATACAAACCAAGTCTAACGTAACAGAGGGGCCAATTGAGACTTCTGGGACACCAACTCAAGAACAACCAATGGAGGACACTAACATTGAGAAATCCAACCAGAATTCCACCATACAAGATGTTAAGTTAGTGAAATTGGAAGAACAGGGGGAGAAAGATGAAAACATGGAAGAGACATGCTGTGATAATGTAGACTGTGGTATAACAGTTATGCCTGGAACACATGAAAATCTCAAAGAATGTTGTAACGCGGTAGTACCAAAGAAACGTAAACGTCACATGGAAATGAAACATCTGCAGAACAGATTCAAGAACAGGAAGAAAGGATTCCTTAAATCAAGCCGACCATTTCAGAAACAGTTGTCAAACTCCCGGAAGGAGAGCACCATCTATATTGACTTTCAGCCAGCTAAAATGACTGATGGCTCACAAGGTGACGATGATGAGAAATCTCATGATGATGAAAACACAAGATCGACCCAAGGCTCAATTATTATCCAACCAGGTGGCATATTCTCACTCCCTATGTCCCATAATTCCATGCCAAGTGTCTCATTTAGTCATTCTAGTGAAAAGGGAGGGACTGCAATGGTCCCCATTTCAATAAGTACAGGGGATGCAAATGTCGGTTCAGCTGAAAATAGCACTCCTTCCAGTCCTAGTAATGACCGAATGAATTCTGGAATGGTAGAAATGGTGGATGATAAGGGCATGAGGCGACGCTACCCTACATCTAGGCCATATAAGTGTGACAAATGCGATCATTCATTCAATCAGAGAATCCATCTTAAGAAGCATCAGAGCAAGCATACAGGTAAGGAAGGTTAGAAATGTGACGTCAGTGCACTTTGCAGTAAATACTGTTTATCTGAATACCTGTCTCATCTGAAGATCTTTCAATGTGAATGCTTTGTTTTGCAATTTGAATTTTACTGGTTTGAGTAACATTCAAAAAAAGAGAAATACTTGGTTCTATAATTGACAATGTCTGACTTTAAAGAGAGAATCCGATCTAGCGAGCAGGTGCATGTTGCTTGTAATTTTGTCACCCCTTTAATCAAATGCACATTATATGATAATTGGTAATAGCTATAAGAATACCACTTGACTCCAACAAATAAAGGCCTCCAGGTGTTAAGAGTGTTTTGTTTATTTCAGGTGTGAAACCATACAAGTGTCAACAGTGTGATTACTCAACTGTAGAAAGGAGCCACCTTAAGGTCCATATAAGGATACACACTGGTGAGTACAAATAGATCCATATAAGGATTAAGGATACATGCAGGTGGCAGGTGAGTATACATAGATCCATATAAGGGTACACTCTCATGAGTACAAATAGATCCTTATAAGGATACATACTGGGGAGTACACATAGATCCATTTAAAGATTAGGGATACACCCAGGTGAGTACAAATAGTTCCATATTTTACTGAAAAATTATTGAAAAATGGTTAAAACTGCTGAGAAATTCAGTGGAATACCAATAGCCTTGTTCCCTTGCAGAATTTACTTATTTTATGTTCAAAATTCATTTTAAAAAGGAACGATTGATATACAATGTTTGACACATACTGTACTCCGGGTAAATTTTGACGCTATAAAATTTCGCGGCTATTTAATTTCGCGGATTTGAGTTGATGACATTTCGCAGATTGCACAAGTTGAATTTTTTCCGATTACCGTGAATCAAAGCGGGCTATTTTAGCCCCTTCAGAATCCAAATAATGTTTGTATTTCCCACGTTTAGGGCATTTATTTGAATGGCTTTTTCAACTTCAATTTGTAGGATATCATTGTCGTCAACAGTTCTTGCCTTTGTTGGCCTAATAAGCCAATTTAAAATGTTTTTAGGCCTTCGCCCAACAACACTGGAAGAAACGTTTCACACCGAACGAAACATATCAAAAGGCCCGGGTCAAATCCCTGGGGATTTAAGACAAATTTTGCGACGATAAATTCGCGACATTACTACATTCGCGAACAAAGCGAAATTAAATCGCACGCGAACATTACCCGGAGTACAGTAACTAATAACTGAGAAAATTGTTCTCATTGAAACCAATAGTACAGTAATATTCTACTGTTCAGAAGAATATTGTTACACATGTATTTATATTATTTGATATATTAATCTCCATGTATTGCAGGTGAGAAGCCATTCAAATGTACATATTGTGAGTATGCCACCACACAGAACTGTACTCTTAAGATTCATCTGAGACGTCACCACAATGAATCAGGAGGATACCTCTGTATCACATGTGGTCAGAAGTTCCCAGAGGAGTCCACCTTACAAAGTCACTCAAAGGAGCATTCCCCTGGGAAGTCAGCTCCTCCTTCACCAGCTCCTATGGCAACCAGTTCTGATGTCACAATTAAAGAACACGATGCTGTAACTAAAGGACAAGACACTACAACAGCTGAACCCGTTGCTACAACAACTGATCCCACCATAGCAACATCTCAGTCTGTTGCTATTGCAACTGGTCCATCTAATGCCACTCTTGTAGAAACTCCTTCCATGGCTTCCATCGATACAGGGAACCAAAAAAAGGTTGGCTCAAAGAAAGAGTGATCTAAAATCCAAATGACTAAAATCTCGCTGTGATAGTGTAAACCTTGTCAAAATAGACAGATTAATAATTAGCCGATATGCTATTCAGTAAATTCCATTACATTGAACAGTATTTGACCATGAAATGATCAGGAATGTAGTGACTATTTATATATTTACTGTTCTGTCAGTAGACTGCATAACACTGTATGTGACTAAAACATTGCCAGAAATGCAGATTGTACAGTGCAACTCAGTATAAATGGACCATATTTGGAATGTTGGATCTGTAATGTTGCAGATTGAGGAGATTATGAGCAGTCTCAGTCTCACTTCTGTTAACACTCCCAGGCTGTTGCCTATTTTAATTTGAGTATTGCCAAATTACCTGTAAGAAGTTTTATTAATCTTTAATATGTCAAATATCCAAAGCTTCCCCTGCCAAATTCATAGGTTCTTATTGCTCTGCTAAATTATGACTGCCAAAAATTCTAGCAAATTCCAAAACTCAGTCATGGTAAAATTAACTTGTTTGAGTGTAGTACACAACTATGTCAATGGATATAATTGACAAGTCGCTAAAATGCTTGTAAAGCAATGTTGAAATGTTGATTGAATTAATATTTATTGAACAAGGTAAATATTGATTCATAAAGTTAATTTATATAGTTAAGTTTTCATAATTTAACTAATTTGAAAGTATACTGACATTTTTATTATTTAATGCAATGTATACCATTATTGCTATAAAATCAATTGAGCTACTGTAAACCGTCTTATTCTCATATGCTACTAATTTTGGCACTTATATATTCAAAAAAATATATATATAAATGTTTCTTATGTAAAATTAATGACGTCATACATAAATTAGAATTATACCTGCACAGGTATATATTTTATGACGACATTAATTATAATTATAATTACGTCATCCTGCGATTATCTTGAGTTGCCTGAAGATTTGAAGAAACTAGTTGCAACGAAATGAAGTCATCTTGTGTTTTTATTTAAATTTTATTATAAATATAAAAATATATCTTTATTTCCTACTGAACATGGAGTACAAAAATTGATATTCACAAAATTACATAAATGTTAGTCTCAAGATTTTAAGGAAAAATTTCTTGGCTTGAGTATTCTCATTGGTGGTAATTTATTTTATTTTATTATGAGGCTGTGAATGACTCTGCTTTTGTACTGATTTTAAGCAAAATTTTGAATTTAGTATTTAAATACTTCTGATATACCTACAGTTATTTACTGTATTTATTCCACTACTTTTTCCCAGGGAAATATGAAGGAATAAAAATCGTATTGAATCGTATTACATGAAAAATCGTATTGTCCCCAGGAAAAATTGTATTGGACCATATAACATGAAAAAATCGTATTGTCCCCGGAAAAAATCGCATTGGAACGTTTTAATCTATTTTTGGTTTCCTGGTTATTTTTAACCTTGGCTAATTGATAAAAGCATTATCCAAATGTAACATTTTAGAGGAATGTATTATGGAATAAATAGGTTATTTCTGGTCGGAATTGTATATGGATTTTATTCCTTGGAAAATATGATATTGACCTTGGGCGATATCATATTGACACTCGGTCGCTGCGCTCCCTCGGTCAATATCATATTACCCTTCGGTCAATATCATACTGTCCCTCGGAATAAAACCCATATTCAATCCCTCCCAGTAAATAACCTATATTTCTCCTTATATGCAATTGTGAGCTTTAAAATAGAGGTGCCAAAGCTGAGCTTTTAATCTGACATACTACAAAATTAGTGTGTGGTTATGTATAATGCTCTGCAATTAATTCTTGTATTTAGAAATGATTGTTACATGTTGAAAATACTTTACATGTATGAACAGGTTGTTACATAATGACTATCCTCCCCAGAGCTGGACCTCCATTGTAAATAGCATACCCCATATGTTATTTTTATTCTATGGAAGTGCATGCAATTATTGGCTTATCGAAACTTAAACTCAACATGTTTTAAAGATTAGCTGTGAACCCTGCCAATAGGCATGTTAAAGATGTCCCAGAACACTAGTATCTGAAGTTATATATACAGTTTATCATTATAATGGGGATGGCTACTGAGGTGGAGAGTCATTATGAAATGCACTTGTGTACATTATTATTTATTGTGGTAAAACCATAGATGGAGGAGGAATGTTCCCAAAATGCATAGCAACTCAAGATTATTTGACCAATCAGGTATCCTAGAATTCTGATCGTCATAGATATATTTGACTACTTAGTCCTATTTGTAAATTATGTATAAAGTTTTTTTGAAATTTGATTCATCTTTGTGTGAAAGTGTATGTTTACATAACTTTAACTAAACTCTTAATGAAATGCCAAAGTAACAGACTCCCATATGTTATATACCAGGTCATTCAATATGTTCCCGGAAAAATGCTCTCATTTCAATGTTTTTTGATATTTCTCATGAAATTTTTACATTGTGTAAAATATATTTTCTTATTGATTTATGAAATATCAGCATCTCTGATTCGATTGGTCACAAATAATGGTTACTATGGTAACTTGACTTTATATACTCTCTGAAATGAGAGCATTTTCCGCGAACTTATTGAACGACCTGGTATGAGATTTAGAGGTAGAGGACAGGGGGCAATGTCATATATGTTGAACACTCAGTGTATGCCTGGTATTCAGTCATTTTTCTGACAGGTACCTACATGACATTGTCTCCCTGTACTCTACAGAGAACAACTTTTTTGCCAAACTATTTAAAGTGAAGATTCATATACTTTACTCAAAATAAATGTGAAATGCCAAGGAAGGAAAATGCAATTTACAGACAACAAATTAGCATATTTAATTTTGTTGTCCCAGTAAAAATATTATTTTGATCTAGTTTTCTCGAGGTTTCTACCAATGTAAATATAAGCGTGACATTCCATAATTTTCTAGCATGTATAAAAATTGTTTCTCTTGTGAGAATTGTACTTTAATGTAAGAATTACTGCATTAATATATATTATTTGAATTTTTAAATTAAGGTGAGTGTGAAACACTTATTACTTTACACTGAGCTACCTGTATGTATGTGTTATTTTTTCTTGTACATCAAAATTTGGATATATTGTTCGTTGGGATGTGCTATGCAGTGGACTTGCTGATTTCTAATTATCCATGATTTATTGAATGGTACATGCTTAATTCATGTACTCACATGTATATATATATTTGTGTACTCTTTAAGAGTTCTCTCACTTGGATGTACATGTGTAACTATTGTAGAATCCAAGTTTAAAGAATAAATTGTTATGTGATGTGAGAAATAATCACTGTTTTTCTGTTGTATTACACCCTATCTGATAGCTCATAGACGTAACATTTAAGCCCTGTACTCAGTGTAATGTGGAATAACCATTCCTTGAAGGTTTTGCTTTCCATAAGATGTGGAGCATCAAGTGTTAATTTTAGGAAACAATGCCTGGAAGGAATGGTCATTCCACAGTGCATTGAGTCTTTAGCCAACTTTTTTGTGTTTGTTGGTCTGCATCTGTAATAAATGGCAGGTGGTGACATTTAGTATGCTAATGCCTGGTATAAATATTGCATCAGATAGGCCTATCTGAAACTGTTACTAAGATTTAACTGGCAATCATTAACGTTTCTGTATCTCAACATCAACATTTGATCAGAAATCTCAATTTCTTTTCCAGGATAATGAAGGATTGTACATAGAAAATGAATGATTGTACAGATTGTACAGTGTAAATCAAACTCGCAACTGAGACAACACAATCTAAAACAACAAATAATACACTATTATTTGGATTATTATGCTGAAAAACTTTAACACAATCATTATTTTGATTTGGTTGAGATTTACTTGAGTCTCCAGCCAATTCCACTCAGTTGAGACAGAGAAATGGTATGTGGTACATGTGCAGCTCAATTAAAAGGTACATTCTTTCAAAATCATGCAGTTTTTCATCATTCTAAGCACTTTTTAAGTGATTTTGGCCATTGGACCAAAATGATCAAAAGTGAACCCCCCTTGGAATCTTTCAAAAAGTGAACCCCCCTTGGCAAATCTTGGCTACGGGCCGTGAGATGTGCTCAATTGTAAAATGCAAGTCTTATAGCTGCGTTCATATCAAGATTAAAACACCATAATTAGAGGGATACGGTGATTGTATCTTATCCCCGGGAATATCATTCAATGATTAAATCCCCGGGAAAATTATTTCTAACGAGCGTCAATTGCAGTTCTTTTCCAAAAAAATATTTACATTTTGAAATGATTATTTTATCGAGTGTTACTCCTATATATTGATGAATCTGCAAGTACATTATGAATTAACTATATCTTTTAGATATCTATAAGGATTTTGATTGGTGAGGGTTCAGGTAAGTGCAGCAATTACAGACATTTAGAGTTGAAAGTTGATTCACTCAATTATCGCCCAACCAACATTTTTATCCTTGAAATATATTTTGAACAAATGTCTATGTCTGTAAGTTTGCGGCAAACTGCAATGTAGTTACTCTGAAAATTCATTTCCTGACCCGCTCTTTGCCTGAAACTTGCTGTCTGTAACAGAGATGTTTTCTGCAAACATGTATTTGATATTTTCCTCTATCCTATACTGGCAGACTAATGAGAATTATTCCTATTGATCTAAAACACATATATGTACAGTAGAGTAGTAAGTATACAAATGCTGTCAAGGAGGATTGGCTCCAAGAGTGCAACATCAACATTTTTGCCATATATGGGGTTGTTGTGGTTACAAACTTCGAATTCAAACAGCCGCCATTTTGTTCACTTCAACCATGGGCTTTCAACTAGAAGGGTATGCAACTCTATGTAATAACATGAGACCTTCAAAATGAGCAATGACATGCTTCCCTTTTATGGCAATATTTCAAAAAGTATTAGATAAATGTATATGTTTTAGTATTATTTTGAATAAAAATCAATTTTTAATATGATTTAAGCATAAAATATATTCAATATCATATAAAAGTAAACAAAAGAGACCAATAAGTATAAGAGTTATCAAGATGTTCTCTTTGAGTATTGCATTGTGGGTAATTATTCAAGAACACATTCCAATAAAAACATAATTTGTGGGAGAATGTTCACTTTCTGTATTGTCATAATTATGATGAATTCTAATTTTTATTAAATTATCAAGATGTATGTAGAAGATCATGTTTTTATTTTTGAGTTATTTCTTTTAATCATCAATAAAAAGTACAAAATAAGATTTTCTTGGAATGTGTACATTCTCCAATTTTGAAAACCCATGGCAATGTTTATGTATGAAATATGGGAAGTTGCCTACCCTTCTAGTTGAAAGCCCATGCTTCAACATTTGAATCTTGAATTTTGGTCTTCAATTTTGGTCTTATTTCCAAATGAAAACTCACAAAAAATGATCAAGATATTAGTTCGAATCTTTTGGACTGTTCATTTTGAATGTAGTCAGTTATAATTTCAGAAAATAACTACATTTTTAAATATTTTCATTGTTTCGATCCTTGGAGCCAATCCTCCTTGCATTCTGTGTAATTCAAGTTATGAAACATACATGTCTCTGAATATGAACCCTGACATTTCAATTTGTTGAACCAACCCATCTACCATTGTAGTGTAATTATGGAGTCAATAACCATACTGCACTTCAATGACGTTTACAACATCGAGCCGCAAGAACATGAGCCTAAAGGTGGTGCTGCTAGGATGGCTTCATACATTGACAGTGTGAGAGATCTGAACCCATTGGTGTTGTTTAGTGGTGACGCTTTAAACCCATCTCTTAGTAAGTAAATAAAGGAAGATATTGATGTACTGTATATCCAAACAGGAACAGGTTACATGTACCTGTAACCTTCAAGCCTGTAATTTTTTATGTAACCTCGTTACCTCATGGACACACAAAAACACTTCATGATCAACCTCTTGAACTGTGAAAAAGCTTAAAACATTACTGTTGGGGTGATATCTTTAAATGGCCCATTAAAATGTACTTTTTCTAAAATGATTTTTTAATGTTCCTTCCAGTCTTAAGAGAAAAATAAGTATTGTCAGCTTCTTATTACTCTATTGTATTTTAGTGAGCAGCATAACCAAAGGTGAACAGATGGGACCAATTCTAAGTGCCATGAATGTACAATGTGCTGTATATGGAAATCATGACTTTGGTAAATATTATCTACTTCATTCAGTCTTCATATTCAAATATAATTTGTTCATTTTTGTTTTGCAGGAAGATCTTCAAAATGTCTCTTGTAATTTGGCGTATGTTATTTAGATAATGTATGCCTGGAAATATTTTGAGAAAACTGAAATATCAAATTTAAAAATGCTAATCATGTGCAGTAGTAAAACCTGTGTCAAATTTGATTATAAAATCATTATGAATTGATTATAAACTGCTGCATTTCAAGGACAAAGTCAGTCGTGAGAGACAATTAAATTGAACAGAAATATGTTTTTTAAAACATTTTTCAATTTGGATTTTTGTAAGGAAGTATACCTCATTTAGCCTTGATTCGCCTCACCAATTTTACCTCACCAATTTTGCCTCACCAATTTTTGTATTTTGATTAGATTTTGGTGTTGATGAGCTGTTAGAAGTGACTGAAAACACAAACTTTCCTTGGTTAATGAGCAATGTCAGGGAGAACATCACATTTGAACCTTTGGCAAATGGCCTTGAGAAACACACCATACAATGGGATGGAATTAAGGTATGTCGATGACATATTTCAACTTGAGAATAGAATACCGTATATTCAAAGTGAGCCAATAAGTGTCCATGTTTTTTATTTGGTGACAACTTTTTGATAATGCATACATTTTAGAAAAGGAGATGCAGTAATCACTTGTAATTAATGAGCAACAAATATCATGTACCGTATACAGTAAAACCTGCATGTCTGTTGTCTGAACACCTCGTTTATCTGAACACCAATCAATATAAACATTTTTTCAGCCCATTTTCTAATCTGCCATAGATAAGTATTGTTATAAATCTTCAAAATTAAAACATCTGGCAATCCAAACATTTTTGGCTGCTCCCAGTGGCATTCTTTGATAGGTTGTACTCCATATCCAAATATTTTCTCAATGGTATTAAAATAACCCAATGGATTTCACTTATTGTCACATATATTTTGGGGCTTGCCAATTTGAATTTGAAGTTCAGAATTAGAAGAGATGTGTGTCACCAACAGCTGTAGAATCAAACTAAAATCCTGATATGGGGTAGCCAGATAAATTAGCAGTTTAATGTGGAATTTAGCTATAAACAATATTGTCCGAGTCAAAGTAACAATTTTATTGGATTCATACTCCTATAATGTCTTCATATTACTATTTACTTCCAGTTTGGACTCATAGGCCTAGTAGAGAAAGAATGGCTGGCAACACTAGCAACTGTTGATGAACAGGATGTGACTTTCCTAGACTTTGTAGAGGAAGGTCAGAGACTAAGCCAAGAGTTAAGAAATGAGGTGAGTAATAAGAATAGTGCTGGGAATCTCTTTCCCTCTGGGGTATCCTCCCTCTGGGACATTCATCTCCTTTGGGAACCAAGCTCTGAGCCAGGGACAAGGCTAAACTTAATATTTTCCCCCTCCTCTAGAGCATCCTTCCTTGATATAACATCCTTCTTCCCTTGGATATCAGGCTCTGTCAGAATCTTAAAGGGCCATCACAACAATTCAACGTTCATTTTAAGCATGTATTTAATCTGCAACCCTCTGTTAGTCAGTTTGTAAGTGTATCCATCCTTGAATACACCTGTTAATCCAAACACTTTTGGCTGATCCCAGTGGCATTTGGATGAGACAGTTTTTACTGTACCAGCAAACTGATTTGATTTTATGATGTATTATGCCTGATTGCATATGATGAACATGTGGTAATGGCACATGATGATGACACATGACACTGTGTGTGAGTGTGACACATGATAATGTGTAAGACACAATGATGACACATGATAATGTGTATGACACATGCTGATATGTTTGTACTTGACAACTTTCATCCATAGGGTGCTGACTTCATTATTGCATTGACTCACATGAGGTGGGCCAGAGATGAAAGGTTGATGGCTGGCATGCCAGATGGCTGCATTGATCTCTATCTAGGAGGCCATGATCACAATGTGCAAACTAAAAAGGTTTCACTATTAAAGAACTAATCTGAAATTTGTTATAATTTTTGTTCATGGCAGTTATAAACCCTTATTTACCAACATGTACAATTACAATTTTTTGTGATAATATTTTTGTGAATTTGCAGTTTAAATAGTGGGATATCCTTTATAGCTAGCTGTACATTGTATGCTAATATCACAAATGTCAACTCGATCTTAGTACAACTGTTATAATTTCAAATGAGGTTTTAAAGCTGCAATAAATAGGATGCAAGTTTCATGTTCTACTAATATAGAATAAGTTTATATGTTGATGTTTATATATTCAAGGGTTGTGACTTTATCATTGCATTGACTCACATGCGTTGGCCCAATGATCGTATCGTAGCTGAAGATATTGATGTAGATATAGTGCTAGGAGGACACGACCATGATTACATCATTGAGCAGGTAAATGTATTAGCAGGGGAAGCCCTGCAGGCCCGTAGCCAGGATTTGCCAAGGGGGGGGGGGTTCATTTTTCAAAAAATTTCAGGGGGGTTCACATTTGACAATTTTGGCCCAAATATGGCTATAATCACTTGAGAAGTGCTCAAAATGGTGAAAAACTGCATGATTTTGAAAGAATTTTTGGCCAGGGGGGGGGAGGTTAGCCGGAACCCTGCGAACCCCCTTTCTACGGGCCTGCCCTGTGTGACTTGAATCTCTTCCCTTGAAGACATATCACCCTGAGAGATAAACTTCTATGAATTCCATACTTTGAAAGTTAGAGAGGGTCTTAATATCAGAAGGCAGATCGTGATTTGATGATTTGGTCTGACTTAAGTTATCTTTATTGTTCAAGACCTAATATTATGTACATGTACAGGAGTTCATCTATTATGGTGTTGATATGATATGATCTTGGAACTTTGTGAGGCATGTATAGATATATTAAATTGAATTGAAAATTGGAAATTAATTGAAGCATATAATTTTGAGAAAAAAATCAGTTAACTATTGCAAACATCAGTCAGTAAATCAATTTCTGTTCATTTTTGCAACATTTGTTTTAAGTTTAGCACCAATATGACAACGATGTATGAAGATTTAACAAGATAGTAAGTTGTACCATGGGCTTTCAACAGAGCTAAAGTTACAATATTTCAACATTTTAGTTGAATGGTAAATACATCATAAAGAGTGGCACTGACTTCAGGAATATGAGCAAGATAACGCTACAGTTCATAGAAAATCAGATAAGAGACATACAGATAGAAGAGATTGTATTGGACTCTACCATTGAAGAGAAGATTGAAGTCAAGGAAATAGTGGACAGTTATATGTGTAAGTGAATTACCCAGGGTTTTTTAAAAAACACTGAAGCTCATGAATTTCAGTTGTCTTTCAGGAGAATGAAAATTACATTGGTAAGTAAGGGTTTATAGTTGAGATTGTATTGGACTCTACCATTGAGGAGAAGATTGAAGTCAAGGAAATAGTGGACAGTTATATGTGTAAGTTAATTATCCAGGGGTTTTACAAAACTGGTAATATTCTGGTAATATCCCAATTGCTATGATTTTGATTTGATTTTGGAGTTTTTTTGAAAATCAGAGGTATTGGCCTGGTGGCTGTGCTGCTTTAAGCCTTGGTTTTATTTACCCAGTAATAACCTAAATAATTTCCAGTACATTGCTACAGTATTTGAATGTTTTCCTACTGTAGTGGTAATGTCTTCCAAGATGGAGGAAGAACTAGGGCAAATGGAGGTGGAGCTAGATGGAAGATTCTCCAAAATACGAACTCAAGAAACTAATCTAGGTATGTCAGTAATTCCAAAAATTCCCATTTTTACAATTTTGTCAAAAATGCCACTTTTATAGTTTTGTTCAATTTTATAGAACAAATATAGGTTTTCAACCTAGAGCCTACTTCATGGTTTGGAGATCATGGCAATTGTAAATAAATTTTAACATGATATAAAATATGAAAATAAAGAATTGTAAATAAATCTTTCTGAGATAGCTCACCAAACCAGATTTTATATTTCTGTTTCTAGGTAACTTTATAATGGACATTGTGCTTGCTGCTGTTAACTGTGATCTTGCTATGTGTAATTCCGGAACTTTCCGCTCAGATAGAATACATTCCAGGGGAACTTTCCGTAAAAGGGATCTCCTCTCAATTCTACCTATGATTGACCCAATGGTTGTCATAGAGATCTCAGGTAAGTTATTACCTGGTGATATAATGTTTTCTAATTTTAACATTAAACATATATGCTTTGTACAAAAATACATGCTTGATATTTTGAGAAGGAAATATTTTTGAGTTAGATATCCAAGAGAAATCAATGTCAATGAGGTCTAAAGTGTACAGAGCAACTGACCTTAATATACAGTGCAATCAAGAGTTATTGGCCTCTCATAAGGTTTATTGTCAAAAGTTTATGACATTTGATCTATGGCAACCTTGCAGCGGCCATAGCTTCCCAAAATCGTGAAAAGTTTGCAGCATAATATAAAGGGATAAGCAGCACGATGTAGATTTTCTTTATCAATTTTTTGAAGCTACAGCCGCTGTACGTCTGCCATAGAGCATATGTGTTTGTTAATCAGAAAAAGTGTATGTATTGAGGAAGGCAGTTGAATTAATTCATTTCATCAACTTGAAATATTTTGTGATTAATAGTAACCACTCATTTCTTTTTGACCAATCAAAATTGAGACACTTACAATATATATTCTTGTATTTAAGGTGCTGCAGTCATAGAAGCTTTAGAAAATGGAGTAAGTCAATATCCCGCCTTAGAAGGGAGGTTCCCACAGGTTGCTGGTATTTCATTTGGGTTTGACCCCAATTTACCTGAAGGAGAGAGAGTTGACAGAGACCATATACGAATACAGGGAGAACCCCTAGAAACAGAAAGGGTATATTTATATGTATTCCATACCTACTAAGGTTCTAGGTAAATAACGAGCGGGAATATATACTGTATCTCGGGATCTATCACGATGAGCGGGGCGGGATGGATACAGCCTGTATCCATCCCGGTCCCGATCCTGAAAATTTTTAAAATTTTTTTTTCAAATTTTCAAAAATTTTCAAAAATTTTTTTTCAACATTTTTTTCAAATTTTCTTTTTCAAATTTTTTTTTCACATTTTTTTCAAAATTTTTGGGAAATCTTGCAATCATTAAGAACAAGAAAATGTGTACCGTATGTTTTGGAACTTAAGTATGATGTACCTAAAACCTCAGTAGGTATGAAATACATCTGTTATGTACGGTCGGTTTTGAATACAGGATTTATCCCGCGGGAAATATGTGTATCTCCCTCGGTCCCTGCGGTCCCTCGGGAGATACACATATTTATCCCATACTTGGACATGTTACAGGTACATAAAGCCGGTTTGTAAAAACTTATATTTTCATCAGCGGGCAGATATAGCTTTACGTCCCGCTCCGAGCGGGCAGATATAGTATATCTGCCCGCTACGTCATAATCGCCGCTCGCGTATTTGCTCATAATTTGTAACTTTCGCGTAATGACTGTAAACGACAATGGAGAATACACAGACAATCGGGATCTGTTTGATGGTTTAAAAAAGGGAAGGAGCATCCACTAATCAAAAAATTCGAGAAAATAAATGTGGGAATATTTGAGAGAACAGGAAAATCCGCCCACGGCCAAGAAAACAAAACTGGACATGAATATTCTAAAATATTTCCACGATTGAACAATGTGAACCAGATGACCAAGATTAGTATGGGATAAACATATTATCCCTTGGCCAATATAATATATTTTTCCTCGGGACCTGCGGCCCTCGGGCAAATATATTATATTCGCCTCGGGATAATCCCAATATCCTGAACCTCATATAGGATAATCTCTATTTACCTTGGGATAAACCCTGTATCCAAAACCTCCCAGTACATAACCCTTATATATTTATCCTCAATGAAAAATGTTAAAATACTGTATATATTATAGAATTTTATATTATTGAAATTTTTTGCTTTAGGATAGTGTCACACAGTAAGGAATATCGTAAGCACATAAAAGTTTGATCATCGATTGATGTATTATGAAGATTAATTTTTGAAAACCAATGATTGCTATATTTAGGACCTTATGGACTTAACCTAACCTTAGACTTCAAGATTGGAGCCGATGAGTAATAATACTTATATTTTTTTGTATGAAAATTGCTTACATTTATATTGTGAGCTGCACAGGTGAACAATTACTCAGATGACATATTCTGGATTCCAGCTGTACCGTCTCTGTACCAAGCACTACCTCTCATTGGGCAAAGATGGCTATACGATGTTCAAAGATTGTCCCGTCCTGATTAATGATGAGGAAGGTCCAACGTTGAGTGTAGTGGTTCAAAATCATTTCAACTCAATCAAGATCCTGAAGGGATTAAAACGATGCAAGTCGGGACATAAACAGAGTGTTATAAGTACACATAGGTGAGAAATAACACATGACTATAGAGTACCCATCCAAGATTTATAGTCCCTTTCTTCAGTCATCATACTGAGCTCTTTGTCAAATAAATTATTATTTATATTATATACATTTTTATTCTTATCTATTTGAAATATGTGCAACAAATTGGGGCGGTTATTCCATTACTAATTTTATATCTATTTGAGATTATGTTTTACCATAGTCAGCACCATCTATCTAATATCTAACATAATATAATGAAGTCTGGTAACTTAGAAAAAAAGAAAATTCTAAATAATTTTTTCTCATGCCAGGGGCTTTGATCAGTTATATTTTATGTTTATTCAACTTTCATATTTTATTAAACCGTTTTAGCCCAAACTATTGTTGTTTAGTTATACTGTTGCAAAATGAGGAGTAAAACCTGGATTTTGGCAGTATAAATAAGTAACACAGATTATTTGATGTCACTTGATGTCACTTAATGCCATTTGATGTCACTATAGTACGTGAGAATATCTAGTTCATTCTGTAAGGATTTTTATTGTTTCAGGCGAAGAACATGCATTAATACACTTGATGTCACTTAATGCCATTTGATGTCACTATAGTATGTGAGAATATCTAGTTCATTCTGTAAGGGTTTTTATTGTTTCAGGCGACAAAGTCTCACGAGGTCTTTGAGTCTGAATGATGGGGACGCTTTAGTGCCAATGAAAAGACCATCACGTGGTGCCTTGCTACAGCGACAGACAAGTATACATGACGTAGAGGTCAGTGAGTGCAATCTAGCCCCGTGTAAGGATGGCAGGATATACCTGATTGATAGCTCAAAAGTGAGTACTTATTTATCATACATGCAACAAGACTAGGCTATTTAAGGCTTGAAAGAGAGATGCCCCTGCAGAAACTTTTAAATTTATTCATCATTATTATATACAGTAGTAGTCATATAGTAGAAGAAATAGAAAAAAACGGGCTTATGATCCTTTGGTCAGAAGCTCATGCTGTTGTGACTCGGCTAAAATATTCTTTTTTGTGAACCTTTATTATTTCATGATTAGACCTAATGTATAACATGTTAATTTTACATACATGTTAATTTCAAGTACAAGCTTGTGTTTATTCATTGGGACCATTGATTAATCATACAAATACATATATAAGTTTTAAATTATGAAGTACACAAATTGTTGGTGGTTTTACAGATGAAACCATGTACTTTGTTATTGAAAGACAGACTTTCACTTAATTACATATGGTTATTTCAGGTGATGAATGGATTTTAATCATGAAAAGAAAGGTCAGCAATATCACATATAAAACACAAGCACTGCACCATTTCATACTAGGAAAACTTGATTATTCCTTTTACATATAGTATAAACCTAGGTCATCATGCTCTAATTAAAACCTGGAATGCCTTTTCTCAATTGTAATCAGAAATGCATTCATTCAGTCACATGGTTAATTAAGTTACAGAATAATGCCTGGGTCACATTTGCCCCGATTCATTGGCCGATTGAGTGTTTTTTTCAATATTGTATTCAATTTTGAACAAAATACTCAATTGGCCGGGCGCCGTAGTGAAAATCGGAGCAAATGTGACCAAGGCATTAGCAATCAATTGGACATGTGGAAAAATACAATTTGGTATTACATACTAAAGAGACCTTGCTTTTGTATATTCTAACCAATGGGAGATATATTCAATGGGAGAAACCAAAGTTGGCACTGAGAAAAAATATACACATTGAGAGGTGTTCAGATTAGAGAGGTGTTGGAATATACAGGTTTTACTGTGTATTAATAATGCATGCGCTTGATTTGCTTTGTAGCAGTTGTAGGTTATTGCAGTGGAGAATGTCTTACATCTCATACTTATTATTTTCAGATTTGAAAACTTGTTTATATGCTTAATTGTAATTCTGTATTGCAACAAAAGTGTTTATGGAATTTGAAGCTGTGTTGTTTGTATGCAGATATTCATTGCCATATAAGGGAATTATGCAAATGTATTCCCAAGGTGAAACTTATGCAGTATTTCCTGTAAATGTTGCAGTCATAACTGGTCGATAGTACTTTTCATCTTCCCTGCGAGCAGGATTATGACTTTTCTCAGAATAAGTTCATCTATTTCATATGCCAATAAATTATGTATATTTTTAAAGAATAACTGTCTTTTTAAAAAAAAAAATTATATCTTAACGCATTGCATTTTCTGTATGCAGTTCCACACAAAGTTGAAGCCCAGCAACATTATCCTTCAAGATACAATCAGCGAAGGAGGAGAATCGGACCCTGGAACCCCATAAAGCTACATAGCTACAAAATATATCATCGGGGGTCTGGAGTCAGACCTGGTACCTGAGATTCAGAACACCAGGACTATATAAATAAATAGTACACAATTATCAAGGGTTTATACTTGATTAGAGAAGGACCTGGTAATTTTTTGAAACACAATCATTGAGGGTAGGGAGATAGACACCAATATAAATTTAATCTTGGTTTCCATTGATTTATAGTATGGAAATATCAATTTCCTACTCATTCATTTATGGCCCAAAAACAGTAAAAGTGGATCTTTATTTCTTTGGGGACTATAATTTCTGTTACACTAGGAATAGGATCCTAGAATTTTTACCAACGAAAAAGACTCTATGCAATGAGGTACCGGTGCTAAAAAGTTAAAAACGTCTAGGCAATAAGTTTATGTTAAAAAACGTGCATAGTCAAGATGGAACATTGTACAACATGGGCTTCTGCGCCCTTGTAATCACTTATTTATACAGCCCTGTCTTACAATGGTATAAAGCACTAAGGATGTGATATTTTGAAGGGTGCCAGTTGATATGTATATCATTTACATGTGTTCAGAAACTTCAGATGACCTGATAGAATCCTTTTTTTTCTCAATTGTTTATATTATTGTATGGTAACCGTCAGAGAAAACAGTCCGCTATATCTGCAGCAAAATATTTTGTGTTGAACTACATCGGTGACATCATATTCTTAACGTGAAATGATTCATCATTAACTATTAAATCTAAGGTCATTCACGATGTCTTCCAATCATTACTCATATCAGATAGAAATGCAATTGTTTCATTTTCTTTCCATTGGTATGTAATATTATTGCAAATATATTGGTACTTAGAAATGGGGTCATTTTTATTGATCAACCCTGTACTGTAAATAATCGTCTTATTTTCTACCCCACCTAGTAGCTTGTGTTTTTGCATATGAGAAGTACCCAATGCAATATTAATTGTACAATAATTAAATGGTGCATTATTATCATCAAATAACTGTAATTTAATCACGGCATATTTATATTTTGATTGTTAGTATTTTACTACTTTGAGCAACAGTAGAGTACTGTTTGTAATTATTATCCCATCGAACGAAGTTCGGAGGGATATAGGGAACGCCTCCGTCCGTCCGTCCGTCCGTCCGTCCGTCCATCCGTCCGTCCATCCGTCCGTCTGTCCGTCCGTCCGGGCAATAACTCAAATACCGTTGGCCCGATTTTGTTCATATTTTGTACACATATACCAAATGGAGGTAGAAGTTCTGCTCGAAAACTGATTTTCAAAATGGCTGCTCATTTAAAAATGGCGGCCATTTTAGTGCCGATTTTACAGTAATTTAAGTTCTGCATATAAAACTCTAATAGCAATATGTTTTAAATGTAGAAAAGTTATATAGAACATTGATTAAGCTAGAAATGTAAATATAGAAGAAATACATGGCAGCCATCTTGAAAATGGCTGCCTTTGCACGTCATTTTACGATTTTTGCTGTAACTCCAAAAATAGTGGAGCGATTTTGTTCATATTTGGTATGTGAATACTTTAAGCATGGCACAATGTCTAATAACATTTTGGGTAGTATGCAGCCATTTTGAAAAATGGCCGCCATTTTTACTTGTGTTGTTTATCATTTTTTACTGTAACTCAAAAAGTAGTGGAGCGATTTTGTTCATATTTGGTATGTGAATACTTTAAGCATGGCACAATGTCTAATAACATTTTGGGTAGTATGCAGCCATTTTGAAAAATGGCCGCCATTTTTACTTGTGTTGTTTATCATTTTTTACTGTAACTCAAAAAGTAGTGGAGCGATTTTGTTCATATTTGGTATGTGAATACTTTAGGGATGGAACAATGCCTAATGACATTTTTGGTACCAGGCGGCCATTTTGAAAAATGGCCGCCATTTTTACGTGTGCTATTTTACATTTTTTACTATAGCTCAAAGAGTAGTAGAGCGATTTTGTTCATATTTTATATGTGAATACTATAAGCATGGCACGCTGTCTAATGACACTTTTGGTAGTAGGCGGCCATTTTGAAAAATGGCTGTCATTTTTACATTTTTTACTATAACTCGAAAAGTATTGGAGTGATTTTGTTCATATTTGATATGTGAATAGCATGGCACATTGTGTAATAAAACTTTGGGAGTAGTCGGCCATTTTGAAAAATGGACACCATTTTTATGTGTGTTATTTTACATTTTTTATTAAAACTCAAAAAGTAATAGAGCGGTTTTGTTCATATTTGATATGTGAATACTCGTAAGGATTGCATACTGTCTTATGACTTTTTGGGTAGTTGGCGGCCATTTTAAAAAATTGCCACCATTTACATGTACATGTGTGCGATTTTTTAAATTATTATATGTGGCTACTTAAAAGCATATTACTTCTTCTGATGACAACTTGGCTAGGGAGCAACCATTTTGAAAATGGTGGCCTTTCTTATGTGTGTTATTTTATGATATTTGCTATATATTTCGTTTGTAAAAATGCCAGCCATTTCTGTTCGATGGGATTCGCTACGCTTTGGCGTTGCCGTTGTTCTGGTTTTGCTGGCTTGTTTTATTATCTTTTTTTAGTTGTTATAAGCAGTATGTTATATAAGTGTATTTATGATTGTAGACTTTATCATTAGTTTAAAATGATTTTATCCAAGATGGAAAGTTTTATTCTTGCCCAATTGGAGCTAATATTTCCCCAAATATGGATTTTTCCACCTTGTTTCCTGTAAAGGGTTTTGTCAATTAAAGGACTTGTCATATTTGGAGAAAGCAAGTTTCAATATGATAAGAATAAAATATACAAATTGCATCGCGGATAGAACCTTTAAATAGTGCAGATGGTGCCATCTATATATTTTTAGTAATAAAGTGAGTTATGAGATTGTACTTTGAAAAAATGATTCCAATGAATAAGACATTGCATTGTTTTCTGTATGGGATGAATATAAGAAAAGCACTCAACTTATTATTCATATTAGCTCAAGATGAGTAGAGTATTCAACTTGAGTATAGTCAAGATGAGTACTGTACTCAGCATGGATATTGTACTCTGAACTTTATCTAATAACAGTATACAGTGTATTATATAGTACTATGTATACATTGTTAAGAAACTGACTGTATTATGTGTAAATCTGTACAAAAAACTGTACATTTTGTATACCTGTAGATTTATATATTAATTGAGACAAATGTCTCCTAGAAATCTTCAGCACAAATATTTTATTGAAATCTGTTAACCAAAGTTAGTAGACACTCACAATATTCAAGTCATGACCTTTGGTTAGGACATGTGATTGGACAATGTGTTGTACTACGTTTCCTTGTAATGATGCCCCTCGATTATATTTCACATGGGCATTATTCCTAAGGTTCTTTCAAAATGATGACCCATAGGCATTTATTTTGATGGAAAACATACCTGTAATTAGGTAATATTCCCTTCCCAGGGATACATTATAAGAAAATCCAATAAGTTACACATTATGCTATGTTTTCCATATAGAAGGAAATGTGATGTTTATTTTCTTATTAAATACAGACAGTGTCATTTTAATGAATGGTGTGTGTGTGCTTACTAAAATGGAAAAGGGTAAAAATACTATTAGATTGTTACAAATGCAGTTTAATGCACAGCTACAGAAATTAGTCAAAAGTGCATCATTTACCATATTTTGTTGAATATGTGCATGAGACTGCATACTTATGTTTTGTAATCAAATATTTACTAATTTAAAAGACATCACATCATAAGAGTGTTATGTCATATGAGCTTGCGTAAATGTATGTGTATATGATCACTGTTACACGCACAGACACTTTTATATTTTTATATCAAAAATCAGTTTATTATTAATATTATATAAATCACAACAATCATTATAATTCTTTACAAAACATCGCTTTAATTCAATCATAAAATTAATAATACCATTATCAAATACATGTGTTACTAATGAGGATATACATGTTTACAGTAAAACTTGTCAAGTTGAACACCTCTGTAAGTTGAACACATTATAAGTCGAACACCTGTGTAAGTTGAACACTTTTAAAGTTGAACACAGGTGTTTATCTTTGTAGTTTAACTTATATCACTGAACTCACACACCTCATTGAGTTGAACATCTGTAACCTTAACCTTGGGGTGTTCAAAAATAAGATTATACAGTAAATCGTGTCATGTGAACACTTCTGCAAACTTATTGAAGAACTCAGCATATTTTATGAATCGCTAGTGTTTTCCATTTTCCTATCTTCATATCCAATACTTCATATTCATTTCATCCTATTAATGATCATAGACCAATTATACACATTCTAATAGATAGGCGAGTACATGTATGTGCAAATTGAACAATATTTGAAAAAGTTAGAGCCATTTTAGTGAGAAACTGTGTTATTGTATATATATCCATCACCCTTATCATTCAAGAGGTTAAGCCAAATTTAGTTCAAGTTGACAGGTTTTACTGTACTTATACCGACTGTATGTATAAGTAAAGAAACATTTTACTGTACTTATACCTACTGTAAGTATAAGTAAATACAGGTTTTACTGTACTTATACCTACTGTAAGTATAAGTAAATACAGGTTTTACTGTACTTATGCCTACTGTAAGTATAGGTAAATACAGGTTTTAGTGTACTTACACCTACTGTAAGTATAAGTAAATACAGGTTTTAATGTACTTATACCTACTGTAAGTATAATTAAATACAGATTCTACTGTACTTATACCTACTGTAAGTATAAGTAAATACAGGTTTTAATGTACTTATACCTACTGTAAGTATAAGTAAATACAGATTCTACTGTACTTATACCTACTGTAAGTATAAGTAAATACAGGTTTTACTGTACTTATACTTACTGTTAGTATAAGTAAATACAGGTTTTATTGTACTTATGTTACTTATTACTGCATTACAGTGTTGTTATTATATATTGAAGATGATTAATAAATTGTTTTATTTTATTCTCAAACAGCTAGTCTTTTCCAATCGAGAAATGTTTACATAACTTTTGGTAGTGACAGGCATACAAATTATTTATTATTAAAAAATGCTATTTGATCAATAATACACTTTTTAGTCTAGCTACAGGCCTCTTTGACCCCCCTCTATACTTGACTAAACACATTCTCACTTCTCACTTGTTGTGCAAGGGCTTGTAGCTTGACTATACAGTCACCTTTTGTCCTACATATACAGGCTGTATGTCATCTTAAGGCAACTGTGCTAACACATTATCTCACAATACTTCCTTAAAATTGACAATAATAGATAGAAATCATTGCCTTCAAAATTGGGCAACTCTAGGCATTTTTGACAATTTTAACACTAAAAATGCTGATAAAATCATGGTTTTTGGAAGACCACCTTTATTACATTTAAAAGATGTGAGATATTGTAAAGCAATTTATAAAGAAGATTTCAACAAGTCAAGTATAAAATGAACCATATTTCACAATGAATGTGTCTCCAATGTTATTGAAAATGATTTAACACAGAATTCTATATCGAAAAAAACTACAAAAATCACTATTCAAATTCAATATGATCATGGGGCTGAGAAGAAATGAGATGTTTATCATGATGGGTTAGAGGTAGTAATGAACACTACACTTTGAGGGGGGGGGCTTAGCCTCTTTAACTTTCAACTTGGTCCAGAATTTATTTAATCATACTAATCATTAATCAAGATATGTTCTCACCTTAACTCTATATTCAAACCTCAAAATATTTATTAAGTCCCCCCCATAAATCAAATATCTAATTTTCTGCATGTTTTGCACTATATTCGACTAGCTCAAAATTGACTGCATAGATATTGGGTTGTGAAAGGCAGTTTTTATGTCCCCACCACATAGTGTGGGGCCATATTGTCGGCCTAGGCGCGTCCGTCTGTCTGTCCGTCTGTCCGTACGTCTGGCAGTTTTCTCCAAAACCGCTACAGATATCACCTTCAAATTTTCAGGGATAACTTATGAGTGCATACAGATGTGGATGAAAAAAAATTAACTCGATACCTACTTCCTGTCGGCCATTTTGAAGTCAAATGCTAAAATCCTTGTCTGCAAACTTTAAGAAAAACTGCTTCACAGTTGCTTTTAAAACTTTAACATCTTGTTCAGCTCACTTCATTCTAGATCTGATTAGGTTTTGAACCTGCTAGCTCAGTCATGTCAGCCATTTTGAATGTCTTAAAGAAAAGTTAGCGCGCGATAATACTTTGTATCATATTGAATGGTGTTTTTGAGTTTTCATACTTTAACTATTTAGTAGCTTTATAAATAATTTCAGATGTACTTTGCTGTAAAAGCCTACTTTATTGTTAACAGTAGTTATATGTGATAATTTTGTAAAAAGAAATCAGCAAAAACTCATAAGGACTTTTTTATTGTCGGCCATTTTGGATTTTTCGGTCCTAAAATCTTGTCTGTGAAGTCTTGTCTGCGCGTTTTCAGGTGAACCGTTTGGTGGATCAATTTCAAATTTTCAGGGATGATTCTTAGTATAAAAATCTAGATCTCATTAGTTTTTTGGCATTCTGGGTAAATGTCAAGGCAGCCATTTTGGATTTTCCGTCCTAAAATCTTGTCTGTAAAGTCTTGTCTACTCGTTTTCAGGTGAACCGTTTCGTAGATCAGTTTCAAATTTTCAGGAATGATTCTTAGTATGGAAATCTAGAACTGATTAGTTTTTTTGCATTCTGGGTAAATGTCAAGGCAGCCATTTTGGATTTTCCGTCTTAAAATCTTGCCTGTAAAGTCTTGTCTACGCGTTTTTAGGAGAACGGTTTGATAGATCAATTTCAAATTTTCAGGGATGATTCTTTGTATGAAAATCTACATCTGATTACTTTTTTTGCATTCTGCGTAAATGTTAAGGCAGCCATTTTGGATTTTCTGTCCTAAAATCTTGTCTGTAAAGTCTTGTCTACCAGTTTTCAGGTGAACCGTTTGGTAGATCAATTTCATATTTTCAGGGATGATTCTTAGTATGAAAATCTACAAACAGATTAGTTTTTTGACATTCTGGGTAAATGTCAAGGCAGCCATTTTGGATTTTCCATCCTGAAATCTTGTCTGTAAAGTCTTGTTTACATGTTTTCTGGTTAACTGTGTGACGGATCAATTTCAAATTTTCAGGGGTGGTTCTTAGTATGAAAATCTAGAACTGACTAAATCTTTGGCATTCTGGGTAAATTTTAAGGTGGCCACTTTGGATTTTCCGTCCTCAAATTGTGTTGGTAAAGTCTTGTCTACTCATTTTCAGGATAACCATTTCACGGGATCACCACTTGGTGGGGACATTTTGTACACATTTGTGTTCTTGTATTAACACTATAAGTGTGTAAATCATATTTTAGAATATACTTTTTAGTATTTCCTAATCTTCACTTTCAAGAATAAGAGGGTGGAGCTCGAATTACAAATGAATTGTGAAATGAATTTAGTCCAAAACTTTTGGGACACCCCCTTTGATATATCACAACCTTGCATCTTATTTCATCCTACTAGATGTCCGCGGTACATACACATTCCCAGTCGTAGCTGCTGGTAAAGTAGGAGGGTATATATTGGCCTTAAGGGGATATCTCTTCCCAGCAATATCAATCTCAAACTTAGCATCTCTCATTATAAAATCATTCGTAATAAGCTCCTCTTTTTTTGTCTCCTGGTTGTAACTATGCACAAATCCCAGGCAGATGAGTTTCTCTAGTGTGTAACCATATCCACTAGATGTCACTGTTCCACAATAGTGGCCGTTCCTGTATATTGGCTCTCCCTGGAAGGGCCATGGGTCATTGTCAAGATTGTGCCCTTCAACGAGGAATTGAACTAGTTTCTTAGTTATCCCATCTTTGTGCTGCTGCTCTAGGGCTGCCTTTCCAATGAAGTCTGGTTTCTGAAATAACACAAGGGAACAGTAAAACCTGTATATCCGAACACTTATCAAAATCTGAACACCTCTCAACACAAACACTTTTTTGGGCCAATGTGGCCATAGCCCTCCATCTTGTAAAAACATGGAAATATGAACACCTACCAATTGGCACACTTTTATCTGGTCATTATAGCATTTAGATAAGTATGTGGAATAAAAAACAATTCGTTGGTAGTCTGATCTGTGATTAACATTTCAAGCATAAAATTAGGATTATAAAATTAGTCAGTCAAATTTTCAGATTTAATTGACCCTTTCCATTAGTTTGATTTTGCTTCTTAAAAGAGAGCTTCACCTACCTTATAATCCTAATATAACAGGCTCTGACCCTCAGTGTTATTTAAATCTAGTATGCACTCAATATACTGGTTGGCCCAAACGAAGGCTAACAGTTATTGAACCATCTCTTTCTGTAAACTGTAAACCTACTTTTGGGCCACCCAGTATATATGGGAAAAGTTTGAAGCAAATTAATTTGTTAGGTCGAAATAAATATCAGCAGGGAACCCAAGAATTGTGTGTTAAAACTCCAACAATAAAATCTTTCAGACTTACATCAAGTCTGACCCTGAATTCTCTGCTACACTCCAGGGGAGTAGTATAAGGTGATAGTTCCTGTCCCCAGTATGCAAAGAACTTCTCAATACGCAGACACCTCAGCGCAAAGTACCCAGCATTCCTTATTCCGTAATCCTTCCCAGCAGCCATCAGTGTGTCGTACACATGTAGAGCATACTAAATGAAGACGTTAATTGAAAATATGGATTGGAAATTATGGCCTGTAATGAATGTTGTTTTGTTATACAATTTTCATAGGCTAGGTCTTAGAAGGAATTTTATAAAAAGATGGAGTTGAAGTCAATCTCTTTTATCTTTATATTGACCTAGAATCTCTGATAATTTAACATTATATAATGTTACAATGGAATTAGTTCACTACGTTTAAACATTTGTTACAAATGGTTATTTATTCTTTATTCATTAAAATCATAATTTGAAAAATTTGAATGTGGAATCAAGAAAATGAGTTTATTTTTACCTCAGATGGAATGTAGAGAATCCAGCCATCTTCCCCTGAATGTGTAAGTCTCATTGCTCGTATACCACTAGCATGGCCTACACTGATGATCTGAAACCAAAACGGGAAAACTAAAAGCATTTAAAGCTATTAACTGGTTGAAGACCAGACGTATACCATTATAACAGAAATTAATAAAAAGACCATTCATTAAAGCAAGCCAAAAGGGTTCAACAGAACATACTTTGCAGTTCATGGAGCTAAAGTCCTGTTTGGACATGTTCGTATCAGTCAGGTTTGACAACAGTTCTTCTGCCTTGGGACCAATCACATTGATTGCTGTGTACATAGATGTCACGTCACCAATCTGTACAGAGCCATCTGCTGGTAGATGTTTGCGTAACCAATGCTGACTGCGGGTCTGTTGTGATGTAGAACAGATGAGGAAATAACTGGAATGAGAATATACAGAACATTCTAGAAAGCTTAGATAATGATACAAAAATTGTCTTCAAACTTTGTTTGGATGGAAAAAAATCTAACCTCTTGAATATGTTTGAGAAACAATAAAAGGGCAACGAGGCAAATTAGAAGGTGGTGTCAAATTACTACATAAGTTGATTTTGAACTGAAGTGCAGACATGACTTCAAAATCACCAAAAAGTCGAGTGACATTCTACATTTCCTCCAAGCTTAGAAATTATTTATATTTTTGCACATTGCGAGTATTAATAATGTTGATTTACCTGTTTTCATGAGTTCTCAACAAACTGACATCATTCTCATATCCTCCCTGTGTATTCTGCATTCCAGTGTGGATGACTGAGCCAACTGGTTTATCAATGTCATTGGAACACACATACTGCAAGAAATCTACCACCTCTCGACCAGCAGACTGCAACATATAAAGGGAGGTTTGTTGATATGGTAAACGTGTACAAGATACAAAGATGACAAAATGTCAACACCACTTATTGGACACCCAAACACCAAATGCCGAACACTCTACACAAATAAGTTGGAGACTATAACAATATGTCACCACTTGTTATATCAAGGGAAAGATCAATACCCGGTGATTTCAGCGGGAAGTGGCATTTCGTTCAGTGGACGAGCTGCGCGCGCACGCATAAATGTGATTATCAATATTATTTAGGGGAGGGATATTCAAGCTTATTTTCGTCATAGGCGCGACCCAGGGCTGTTGTCTTAAGGACATTTCGTTGAAAATTAGCCATTCGGCTGATAATTTGTAAGAGTTTGCGATCTTATAATGTATAACTGTTATTCAGAAACATATTTTGACACGATTCTGTTGGAATTAAGCTTTGAACCGAGAGATATTCACGATTGATATGCACATTTTTGATTGTGCCATTGCTTTTCCATTGCACAATCCATGTATTGATAGAAGTAACAATAATGCAGATTGTTTTACCTTCAATACATGGCGGATTCACTACATATCGGTCTATTAAATACCATTTTGTGCCCTAAATAGTTTTATATTTCCATCACGGCCTGGAGCCTGGGTGTGTTTGTCTCTATGTGTATGCGTGTGAATATTGGTGGGGCTGGTAGGGCCACCAATCCCCTGGCCCCGCCCATCCTTTATTCTACTTCCCACTTATTATAATTTATGCTGTAACATTTAGACTTCGCTGGAAAACAGTAGGAATTATTTTTCTTGCCAATCAATCGTGAATCACAATCAAAATTTCAGAAAGGATCAATCAGGCAATCGTCCAAAATCCAAATCAAGTTATAACATTATATGATATTCAGCAAGAAGTCCGGAAGAAATATAGAATATTTAAACATCAAAGCTGAAAGTTAAAAGCTAATCTGTCAATTTTCTGTCTGCAAAAGAACGTTTACATTTGACACAATAAAAGACCGAGGCTTTGAAATCTAGGATTCCCCAGGAAAATATGACGTCATACTAATTAGCATAAGGATTTCCCTAGTGGTCTGGGTCGTGCATCGTCCGAAAACACAATCCGATAAATACATGCTAATTTCTAAGGAGATGGGAAGTGTATGACGTGTTTATCGATTTTGTTTAACGATTTAATCAATTATCAAATTGTTTAAGTGGATAAAGTGGTCACACTTGCTTCAATTCATAGCGTAATCGACGGATAGAAACTGCACCGAATTCCCGATATCCTACCCCGTATTATGTAGGCTATAACCACAGTGACCTGCAGATGGCGCTATCACAAACAAGTACTGCACGAACCGATAAATTCCCGGGTATTGTAACGCCCTTGGTTATATGGCTATAAATGGGAATTGCGAACAATGGAAAATGGTATGATTATCAAACCAAAAAGGTTAGATGATAACTGATCAACTAAATCTATTCATCATTCACATTCATAGGAACTTTTGTTGTCTTTCATTTGATCTGAAGCAATTTGGCCACCAGGTAGTGAAATTGGTAAATACCCACTGGCACAGATTATTGGAATTGCGCATTATTGAAACAGGGTAACTACTAAACTATAAATATGATCAAATTTTGGCATGGGTTTTGCATGTAACACGAGTACTAGCTTATTTTTCATAGATTTGGTATCTTGAAAGTCACAAAAATAATCTATGAATTCATGTACTTACTTTTAATTCAAGTTTTGTAAAGGAAGACATATCAATTAGACAGACACCTTCTCTGCATGCCCAGTACTCAGATCTGCAATAAATTCATTATACAGTAAGTTGTTTCGTTCCATGTACAGTAAAAGCTGCAAATAGAACACCTTTGGAATCTCCTAAAAGTGTTCCATTTATATGGTGTTCATTTAACATTAAATGAATGGGTCGTGGGATTCTGAAGTGTTCCACTTACAAAGGTGTTCTACTTACAATGGTGTTCCACTTACAGAAGTGTTCCAATTACAAAGGTGTTCCACTTAAAAAGGTGTTCCACTAACAGAGGTGTTTCATCTGACAGTTTTTACTTTACAGTAGTACACAACAGATACTTTTGTAAGATATCCTGACTAATTTCACATTATTCATTATGCTAGCCTGACTCATATTATAATTTTTTTCAGGAATTGCTTTTTCAACCTTTTCACCAAATTGAAATAATTTACTACGATCCATTAACACTTTCCACCTCCCTACCAGCTTGCAATAAATATAACAAGGCATTAATATGCAAAATGTCACAACCTGCCATTTGGTACAGACATCGATGGCCAAATGTGAAATGATAACTACGGAATGCTGTCTACTGTCTACAAAAAAGTTGGAGACTATAACAATATGTCACCACTTCTGGTGGTGACATAAAAATATGAAGTTCAGTTGCAATACCTGACTATATCAAAGTAGGCTGGCTTATGCCAAATGTACCAGGTGTGTTTATGTGGCTTATTGCATCTTGACATTATAAATATGAAGTTCAGTTGCAATACCTGACTATATCAAAGTAGACTGGCTTGCCAAATGTACCAGGTGTGTTTATGTGGCTTATTGCATCTTGACATTATAAATATGAAGTTCAGTTGCAACACCTGACTATATCAAAGTAGGCTGGCTTGCCAAATGTACCAGGTGGGTTTATGTGGCTTATTGCATCTTGACATTATAAATATGAAGTTCAGTTGCAATACCTGACTATATCAAAGTAGGCTGGCTTGCCAAATGTACCAGGTGGGTTTATGTGGCTTATTGCATCTTGACATTATAAATATGAAGTTCAGTTGCAATACCTGACTATATCAAAGTAGGCTGGCTTGCCAAATGTACCAGGTGGGTTTATGTGGCTTATTGCATCTTGACATTATAAATATGAAGTTCACTTGCAATACCTGACTATATCAAAGTAGGCTGGCTTGCCAAATGTACCAGGTGGGTTTATGTGGCTTATTGCATCTTGGTCGGGATCATCTATAACACAAAAACGATTCCATGTTATTCTTCTCAGTATATTGGTGGGATTATACAGTCCAGTGAAACCAGTAAAGTGGCATATTTTTGTTACCTCTAAAAGTGTTCCATCTGGCAGGTGTTCCATTTATAAAGATCCATTTAACATTAAGTCAGTTGGTCAGGTTGACTAACAGAGGTGTTCCACTTCTGTATCTGTTCCACTTTACAGGTTTCACTGTATGTACAAAGTAATTATTAGAACTGTAATATGGTTCTTTATTTTAATGTACTAATTCAATCAAATGAAAGATATCTTAATTTAATTATCGTATTTAATCTAGTTTTTCATGCTTTGTCTTCAGCGCATACAAAATCTATTCGTGTTCATAAACTATCGATAAAGTTAAAATAAATAATGTTTGTGTTTTTACAAACTAGAAACAAATCTATCATGCATTAAAATATATTAGCTTACAACAAAAGTATGTGCCATTTTAAAGGGGTACATACTTATACATACATATTATACTATATACTATATATATATGTATATTGCAAGCAAGCAAATTAGCTGACAGAAGTAAAATGGATTTGATTCTATTTTTGTTGCTTATGATAGGAATAGAAACTGTAGAATTTCACTTTTATCAAGTCTTATCAAGACACTTAATCTATAAAGTGACATGAGAGTGCAAGTTGTCATTTAATTTACAATAAGCATATCAAATAAAATTAAATTAAAAATAAGAGCATCTAAAATATTCATATATGTTGTAAATAGATTTCCTAAGAATATGAGTTAAAACATCAAAACAGTAAGCCCCATCAACTTATTACTATGTGAGCATTTATAAACATTGAAGTTCACAAAAAATAATGTATCAAAGTTTGGCAGTGGGGCCCTTTAAGTTACTTTAGATGAACTTTTAATCATTAATTCATTTGAAACAATCAGCAAATTAAATTACAGGACAATTAATAATAAAAATGAATAATGCAACATGTCTGAACATAGAAAATGTGAAAATTAAATCAGACGAAAAAAATCAATTTATCGGCATTTTATTTTCGAAAAGTACATGATTACTGTTCAACCAAAGTGAAGGTGTTAGTATTTTAACCTATAGTTGATAGAAACACTTTGTCACAATATTTCATAATGATGAGTCAAACAATAATTATCCCAATTAACATTATAATCAATTACTCATAAAGTAAACAATCAGACAGATCAAATAAAAATAATGTAGCAATGAAAGATCAAAGTGAGATTTGCAAGCCCTAAAGTGTAAGAAATATGCTAAAGTCAAAAAGCCCATCAAAAAATATGTTCAGTTTTTGAGATTTATTAATTTGATAATCGGTTTACTTGCTATTTACTTCCGAGTGATTGATTCAATGTATCTATGTTCCATTTGTTTATTAAAATGATGTTTATACAATATCAGATGTATAATCAACGACGTAATACTAATGACAGATTGTAGATATCAATTTATTATAAATCTTTAAATGCCATTTAAATTAATTCGTAATAGTTGATATATGATACCTAGAGGTTTGTTTAAGTAATTTATGACTCAGATTGATAAATGTTCACAATGATCTTTCAGTTGTTGAAAAATTATTATTCATATCGCTATATGCTAATTTTCGTTACAGTCGGGTCTATTCTGTTGCTAATGAATCGCAAAAACATTAATACCACAGAAAGTATCACAAGGCTCAAAAAGCAAGAATTCATGGATACGGAACTGACTTCAACATCAAAAACCATGAAGATAAAAGAGCTCAGATGTGAACCCTGGGAAAATGAAGATTACAATCGAGTAATTGGCTATGGGCTTGATAATTATGTCAAACTCACAGAATTCCCAACAGAACATTGCTCAGATAATTCTTTATGTGGTGCTCGTCTTGACAACTCTATTGAGCCAATCAGATTTCGTGATGATTTACCGGTAGATGCTTGCTTAGACCCAGAGATTTGTGTGACAGTGATTTGTAAAACAGCGACTCGTCTTAATTTTGCACAGAAACTCGTAGCATCTATTTGGAGATTATACCCTCGTATATTTATCATAATTGTCGGAGACCGGAATAACAAATACACAAATGACCATATTTGGTATAAAACTGTGCTCAGCAACAGACATCGATTACTTTACATACAGGAGAATTCGACTGTGGGAATTAGCGCTGGGAGAAACAGAGCGCTTCAATTAGTCAAAACCAAATATTTCTTTTTAACAGACGATGACATTATTCCTGCTACAAAAAGTTCTTATAACCTCACAGATATGTTGTATTTAATGCAGATAAGTGACTTTGATATAATTGGTGGAAGTTATTCCCCGCATATATTTACTGGAATTTGGCACGCTGCCAATAGTAACCAAACAATGAATTCAATAGATGGCGCTGTAAGCTCAAATGCCAAGAAAGGTTTCGTTAATCTCTTCCACTATACTAAATATCATTACGCAAAGTTATCCTGTTTTGAATCATGTTACCACACGGATGCTACATTAAATATATTTCTCGCGAAAACTGCTGACATCATCAATATCTCAGGTTGGGACTGCAAATTCAAGATGGACCAAGAACATTTAGATTTTTTCCTTAGGGCAAAGATTGCGCGTCTGAAAGTCGGCATCTGTTATGATTTCCTGTTCGACCATATATCAAGCTCAACAAATGTTGTACATTTAAGACGTTTACAGTTGAAACCATACTTTGAACATCTATTTTTAGAAAAATGGAATATCACATATGTTTATTCCTTTGGGAGACTCCAACGGAAAAAGAGAGTTGTATTATCAAGGTTTAGTGATAACAAATATGTTTAATATAATCAACAATTTGAGACCATATGGTGGACTTACATAGACTCTTATTTTGTCATTTTGATGGGCATTTGGTTATTCAAGGATCCTTGTTGATTCATATATTGACTCATCTACTCAATATTTCTCTTGTCAATTAGTATACAGATACATAATTATTAATTAACCTCTTGACTACCCAGAGGGACAAGATTTCTCTGTCACAAAATTTTTCACTAAAAGTGCTCAATTTTTTTCTAACTGAGCATCACCTGTTGTATATGTATGTAGTAAAATGTCAAAGACTGGCAAAAATGAAAAAATTCCCTGGTTTCAAACCAATTTTAGAAGCTGGGATTCAAGAGGTTAAGCTTTTTGAGATTATCATGATTTCTTACTTTGCCCATTGAAAATTAATTAATGAGGACTGGAATATCTACAAATCTAAGATATTATTTGGAATTGAGAAAGATGTTTGAAAAAATGAAACTTTTTCAAAATAATTCAAAAATGAAAGATGTTCCACAACACATAACATGTAACAGTAACCATTAAAAAACAATAAAAGAAGCTAATTTTAATCTATACAATCACCAGTGTTACGCTTCCCAAAAAATAGTGCTCTTTCAAAGCCCATAATTTCACCGAATGTTGCCCCAGCCTTCTGGAATCTTGGGTATATGGTGGAATGTCGCAAGTTGCGGGCATATTGATACTCAACGTTGGGGTAGTCCACTTTATAATGTCTCCCTGGGTGCAAGCAAAAAGCAAAGATTCAATCAACACAAGCATTAGGCAGAAATACATTAAGGTAGCCAAAGTAGAGTGACTAATCTAACTAATTCATTTGAACCTTTTACAAGTTGGTTCATACATTGTCACAAAAAGCCCACCTTAATTAATGCAAGCTCATTCACGCTGGCTATGACCAACGCAATCCAACAAATTATGTTATTAACAGCAAGCATAAAGTATATGTATTGGACTGCGTTCGGTAAACCCAGTTTGTTTATGGACTTAAAATACAGTGCAGGTTAACACAGATATCTATGTGTAATATTATATATCAGATGAACATATAGATAATGTTGACTAGTACTGCAGCATTAATTTCTTGTTCCACAAAAACAGAGCCTTCAATTTAAACTGTGTAAAATACTGTAGTAATTTCAATGTGTAGAACAATTACTTAAAATTGGTAATTTAGGTCAGTTAGTCTTATGAAGGCTCTGTTAATATGCAACTTACAATATAAGAAAAGTAAAACCTATGTACAGCGAATCCTGTCTTTTACACTACTCAGACTTGTTCAACTGTTCAAAGAGAGGTGTTTATATTTACAACGAACTAATTGGATCTCATATATCTCATTTATGCCTGGGTCACATTTGCTCCGATCCATCGACCGGCGTCGAACCATTGAGTGTTTTGTTCAATATCGTATTCAATTTTGAACAAAATACTCAATCCCCCGGGCGCCGTAGTCAAAATCGGAGCAAATGTGACCAAGGCATTAGATGAAGAAAGTTCTGAACATTTTGAGGTTGTCACAACAGAGAGGTTTTCACATACAGAGGTTTTACTGTATATAGTATATAACAGGGTGGCCCAAAAGGAGGTTTATAGTTTACAGAATGAATTGTTGAATTACTGTAAACCTACTTTTGGGTCAACCAGTATATTAGGGGATTCAACAACTATCTATAGGGGATGGTATATTCTCGGGTACAGGGGGGGGTACCTTCCCCATCAGCTTGTTTCCTCTGAAAGTACATGCCCCTCTCATATCCATTCCTCTCCCCAAAGACAGCCTTGGCTTCCTGTAGACGTGGGTAGAGGGGGGTGAGGCCGATAGCCCTAGAGGTTTGGAATTCCTCACGTGGATAGCGGAGAGTGTACATAGCCCCTATATGTTAAATATTACATGCAATAATGGAAATATTCTGACTATTCATGCGTTAAGAAACTACCTATAGCTAAACATGCACGAGTACACAAGTCGCAAATGAATCAGTGCTGTTTAAAATCAGTACAGTTTCAAAATTGATATTGTAAAACTCAAAAAGTGGTTCTTTTTCATCTACAGTGGTTCATTTCATAATTTAGTATTTTATCATCCAGGAGTGGCACTCTTTTATCCTAAACAATACTTTTTCATCCTCAGCACTGACTTATTGGCAAATGAAACTAGACAGGTCTGGTCATCACCAAAATATGCCAAAATAAACTGTCAGATCACATATATAGGAGTTTTGCTTGCCCTGGAGAAATTCTGATCAAATATCAGTGATTTTTGGTCACTTCATATTAGTACAAATAAACTAAAACATGCAGCTTGCTGAAATAAGTTATGACTGTTATTTGATTCCATCCAGAAAGCATGAATCCTCTGCCTAGCAACACCCTAGCAACACCATAGCAACTCCCTAGTAACGCTCTAGTTATCACATGCCTGTAATCCAATGAGTATGGAACCGAGGAAAATATAAAGCTCGCTCAAATCCTACAACTTCCTGGAAGACCGCCCCTGCAGCTTGGGTTCGTGGGAACACTGGGGTGACTCGCACATTGCGTGCTGTTTTGAAGTCATAGAATGGCAAGTTGGGTATACGATAGAAAGAAGCACCTAAACAAAAATAAAATCATTTTTATTTACTACATATTTGACTCACATTGCAGCTTGAAAGATAATTCACACATACAGACTGTAGCTAGGTATGATATACATGTATCACATTCCAACCAATTAGAACACAGTATACATTTAATATGTGTCTTGTATGCCAGCCTTTGAATTTAGTTGGTCAGGTTCCTCCCTCATTCAAAGTCTTATACAGGACATTGTGCATAAAATCATCCACAATTCATTGAGCACTGAGCTTAAATCCTTTAAAACTTCATACTATTACATTTGTATTTCTTGTACTAAGTTTTTTTAACTGAAATAAATATTGGTATTGGCCTAATATTGACTTCATACTTCTACCAATAGAATTATGTATATGATTAATATAAGATGAACGTCTAGACAAAATTGGGAACAAAAAAAGACAAACATCAAGTTACATTTTAAGAGCAAAATAACTGCATATTTTATTAAATGGAACAAAGGTTGTTTCATGAAAGTACATTTAATTCAATGAATGACAATATTATTTAAAATTATGATTACAGTTATTGGTTCTTTTATCATTCTTGTTAACATGACTACATAAATCCATTATTTTGTTGTACAATAAGAACTACATACCTAAAGTTTCTCTGACCCTATCACGCAGGTATTTCTTGTTGTTATGGAGATCAACAAAACGTCTGATATCAACTGACCAGAGATCAACGCTTGGACTGCCATCTATAATCCACTCTGCCATGTGACGGCCAACACCTCCAGCACTAGCAATGCCAATAGATGTCATACCTGCCGCCACAAAATAGTTGTTGATCTGGAACGAATTTTTGTTATTTCAAAATATATCTTACAATAATTGCATTTAATTTCCATTTTTCTCATTTTTTTACAACTTTACAAGTTGTTTGTTAAAACATTTTTCAAACTAATAAAATATTAGGATTCCAAATATTGCCCCCTGTGTAACACCACTATAATATCACTATATTGCTCTCACCTCTGGTGCCTCACCCAGGATGTATTTACAATCAGGTGTAAAACTCTCTGGTCCATTGAACAACTGACGAATCTCTGCTGTTTGAATAGATGGAATTCTGTGTAGGATCTGCTCAAGTAGCACCTCTGAAATATACATTATACATATTATGAGGTTATATAATGGTTCATTCTGTATATCGTGTTTATACTCGAGTGAGTATATGATATATTCACAAGTGAGCGTAGCGAACGAGTGAATATATTATATTCTCACGAGAGTATAAAATGCACGATATACAGAATGAATCATTATATAATCTTATTATGCCACGCTAAGTTCAACTACAGTTGATTCGAACACAATCATAACGATTAAAAACCATAAAAATATCCCATAGCCAACTCAATAATGCCGATGTTGATCTCGAACCATTTATGACGTCACTTGATTCTAGGAAATCATGCCGGAACCATTTAAGACGTCACTTGATTCTAGGAAATCATGAAAATTTTGGAGCGTCGGAACTCCTCATTCGCTCCGCTCATTCGAGGGACACAACAGTCTGTGTAACAAAACATACACGTTGTTCTTCGCTCTATATTCATTAGTTCCCAGAATGCACTTCTACAGTGGTATACGCTGGAGTGTATACGGTGGAGTGTATACGATGACGATATACCACTCTCCACTATATATCGTTGTTATAGACCCAAGTTATACAACTGTAATTTGACTTAGAGTGGTATAAATGGTAATACACCTGAAAAATACATTATACATATATGGTCATATACCTGAAATATATATTACACATATATAGCCATATACATGGAGTATAAAATATAATATAAACATTACAAATTTGGGATATTGTTCATTGTTCTCTTTTGTATCCATGGTTGGAAAAATTGATTTAGGAATTTTAAACTTTATAGAAATTCAGTTACCAGAAAGACTTGAACACATTGTACAAGATTTGTCAAGACATTGAGAGTGAACTTACGGAAATGGTCCCAGTCCTCAGGTAGCTGACCAAACTCAAATTTGTCTGGGATGCCATTATGGAAGACTGGTTTAGCTACGGGTTCAAATCCTCCGGCCATGATGCCTCCACTCCACTCACGGAAGTATGTGTACCCATCATGGTCTCTGATCACTACATATACAATATTGTACCATAATAATTAACTGATTAACCAAAGAATACATTGCTCCAGTAAAATTTTTAATGATATACTTGCATCAATGGTGAATATTTATGTCAAGGTCACATCATTTATTTGAGTCTGATCATAAGCAGATTTTCAAGTTTCATTTGACCTATTTTAGATGAGACGGAGGTCAACCTGCTTTTGACCAGTGATAGGGGAAATCTGGGTACTTGTGATCCCTAATCAGCCTGAATTGATTTTAATTCACAACAATCTGTACCTTGCATTATACAGACTTTGGCACAAATCCTCTTTTTAGAAAATATCAAAGTTTGAAGTTTGAAAGTTTGCTTCCCCTGTATAGTATATGAGATTGATTTTTTTTACCTGGCGTCATCCTGTCAACACCAAAAGGTTTAGTGACAAGGTAGTAGTGTTCTGTAGAGTGTAAAGGAACCCTCACCCTCGGGTTACTTTTCTTCCCCAGACTTCTTGCCCATTGGCCAGCGCAGTTTACAAAGTATTCACATTGTATAGTACCTGAAAATACATGAAATGGATTGGTCAGTAGCGCTGGTTTCATTGTTCATGGTATGTGTTTTCCTTAGCCTATGAGTATTAAACTTTGTATCATTGAGGTCAATCAATGTCACATATAAAGGTCAAGGTCACTAGAATCATAATCACAAGAGTCATTTTTACATAAAAACATTTTGATAATGCATTAATCAGTAAAAACAGAAAAATGTAACAATAGGTAATACTCAATATATGCTTATAGTCTCACAAAATGTTTTTAAAAAAAATCAATATTAAATCTCAACTGAATAAGTGGCAACAACATCAATTCAATCATAAATCTAACATGATTAAATAACCATCAGTCCATCCAGGTGCTAGTCTTGCCTATGTTTTTTCTTTATTCTTTATAAGTATGGAGATAAATTAAACCACAAGTGATATCAATAACTTTTGACGAGTTACTATAGTCACATGCCTTATCTTATAATTTAAAAATGAAACCGTTAACTCACTACTCTTGAAAGATTGTACGAGTAAACTTACATATTATTGAATTATCGCAAAAATACATGCACCTGGTACTAGGAAAAATAATAGATCTGTGCTCACAATACAATTTGTCTGCACCTGTAGATTATTGAATGGATATCATATTCAGTAAGTATACATGTAACTCATTTCCTCAATATACCATTTCATAATACACAAATACATTAGTATGCAAGACAATAAACAACAACTTCAGGTTGTTGACTTTAATAAGGTTAAACAGAATACAACTTATAACTTAACACCGATTAGAATTTGTAGTCTATTCATTTATCTATTAAACACCGGTTTCAGACAAATAGGTTATGACATAACACGACATGCTATGCAAAAGGTTAAACAATAACATTTCTGGTGCACTTAAACATAAGTCTTTAATAATTTTCAAACACAATACAGTCACAATAACCTAGGTATGTTTTGCAATTTATATTATGTTGTTGCTTGTTATTTTAGTATTTGCATCATTTTCAATGTTGCCATTAAAAATGATTTTAAGATGTCAAGTATAAAATCTCTAACCTGAAACCTTTGATTTGAATTAGATTATTAGGTTTATTAGGTTTACAAGTTAAAGTGCTTATTCGGTAATATCTGTTTATTTTTTTCTCACTACAATAGATTAAACAGATATTGGTAAGTAAAAATAGTATTCCAACAGACTCTCAACTCATTCCGTTTGTTCAATAGTGGGGAAATAAGATTTCCCGGGAAAAACATGACATCACGAACAGAACCGGTTATGGATTTTTAACGGCAATGCGTTATGCAACTAAAGTGCCAAGTTAAAATTGTTTATGTTGCAATCAATTACACTAACACTTTATAAGCACGTTCGGAGATTATGAACTCCAACAACATATTCAAAACCCGTTCTGTTCGTGATGTCATGATTGGCATTTGCCATTGTGTTCCCGATTTTGAACATCAAATTTCACATTTATAAAAATATTTACAAGAACGGTACCTGGTTTGACATGTTAGTGGTATTTACTTCATTTAGAACGTGTATAAACTGTATTTTGACCCCATGAGCATCGAACAGACACTTTAAAACAATTATATATTAGTTTCATTTTAGTCTTTATATTCCATATATTTTGTTAAACATTATTTAAACTAAATGATAAAAATTAGTTTCATTTTGTTTTATCGCCTCCTGTGGACAGCGCTTACCACTGAAGGTCAAACATGTATGTGTTACAATATTCATTATACATCCGTTATAAAATAATCAAACAACCAAGTTTCAGGCAAATCTTAACAACAATAACACATGCAAGAGCGAAGATAACATGCTAAGTAAATGGTGTGCAGTCTGTAATATTTGATCATAAAATTATAGAAAAATTGTAGATTGTGATTTCCTTCAAGTGGTTAATAAAATCCCAAGCACATGGTTTAGATCTGTAGCAGTGGCGGATCCAGAAATTAACAAGGGGGGGGGGCAAATTTTGAGTGTGGAAAAATTTTTGGGCCTCTAAAACCAAATTTTGAAAAATTAAGGCCCATTTTTTGATAAATTGGCCAAAAGTTTTGTGGCCCAAAAACTAAAAAAAAATTCTGGGCCCCATGCCCCCCCCCCCCTAGATCAACCACTGTGTAGCATCTGGATATAGTACTATTTCTGAGGATATATTCAAAAATGCATTTCAATATATGTAAATAAATTTAAACATGATTTAACTGATTTTAATTCTATTTGCGAATTTCACATTCTGCCTCTGGCTGAAAAAGCAACAAATAAAAGTGTCCTTATAAGAATTCATACAGACAGATCTGACATCTTTAATTGTGAGCAATCTTGAAATAAATCTTGATTCTAAAAGATCACTTAAATTCTATCAAAACATTGCCTAATTCCAGAAAGAAGACCGATTCATCCATACAGATTATAGACAAGAAGTAGCCATGTCTTCCAGTGAAGATGAAACACACCTTATGCGAAGTCTCCATGACTTCAATGAATGTGTTTTCAAAGAGAAAATACCCCAGAATGCAGGAGACATTGATCCTATAGTATGGGACCTGAAAAAAGTCCTTGAGAATCACAAGGCAAATATCAATGTCAAAGATGCAACAGGACTTGCCCCATTAATGTATTTTATACAAGAACTGTGTATCAGAGAAGGCGATGTTCCGGAGATATGGTATCTTATAGAAGCAATCAAACTCCTTATTGCATTTGGTGCCGATATTAATACTACTGATGAAAATGGCTTCTCTCCATTGATCTACCTCAGGGCATTCAAAGGAAGGGACCATGTAGTTATAGATGTCATTACACTTTTTGTAAATCTAGGTGCAGAAGAAGATATGAATAGACACATTACTTATTGTGTCATTCATGCATCTATATCCATGGAAACAGTGCATGTATCCATGGAGACAAGCATTGAAAACATAAGTGATATCTCTATGATAACCTTCCATGAGAGCATGGAGATATCCATAGCAACAACATCTAGCTCATCTATGGACACAACAAATGTTTTCTATTCCCTCGAAAGAACTGCTGAAGGTGACAAAATTAAAGTGGACCAGATAGTACATGTGGTTGAAACTGTTGCCAGGAAAATTGTTCATGAGACACTATCAAGTTTCAACACTTGCACTGACACTATTGCAGTAAATGGAACAGAAAACTTACAGACTGGAATCCTTGCAACTCAAGACTCCACAAGTGAGCTTTTAAAAGAATCAGATCAACTAGATACTGCTAACAGTGAAGTTCCAAAAACAACCACTGCTCAGAGTGTGGGCACAAACAAAGATGCAAATACTGATAAGGCTTCCACAGTAGGAGCAGATACTAAGAGAACAAGAAAAACAGCATGTAAGTCAATTTCAAAATTCAATTTCAAATAAATTTGAAAATTTCATAATAAACATATACAAGCATTAACAATAACATAAACATGTATTTTCCAGGTATGTTTATCATTTCAAATAATGAAAAAATATTGTGAATTGCAGATGGATCCATGAATAAACTGTACACCAAACTCTCCCCACAGATGGGTAATTCCAGTTACACAATTTTTATCAACCTTGGTGTAACCTCAGGAGAATATGAGACATCACAAAACAACTATCCTCATGATGCAAACAGTAGAAATATCAACCTGCTAACAATATGGGACAAGAAGCAATCCAAAGACATTGATAAGTGTAAATTATTAGCTGAAGCATTGCAGAAATCTGACAGAGCAGACCTTGCAGATATGGTTTGGTGAGTAATAATATAACTCTATGAGTTAAAACTCAGTTTACCTGCTAACACATCCTCCTAAGCAGGTATCCAGAATCCATACCTCCTTCTTCCCCCTGCTATAACCAATTTGGCAGCGCCCGATTAAACTGAATCACATGATCTTATTATGCGCAATGACTTATACATGATTTCTGTCGCAGTGTTCCGACAACCAATCAGATTGCGAGTTCTTAATCGTGGAAATGCTAACTGCTTATCGCAGTGAAGCCCTATGATCGGAGGTTGTGGTAACATTATTATCTGAAATGTCTAGCTATATACAAGTAAACCCTTGCTGAAAAGATTAACAACTTATCTTCTTATACTAGTCTGTCATTAAATAAAATGGCTACTTTAAAGTTGCAATCCTACTGAGGGATGGCCCAAATGAGGTGTTAGATATAGCATAGTCTAACAAGGCAAACACATAAACTGTATCTAACAACTGGTTTTGAAACCCTAAATATGACACTCTCTATTTTGTTTCCAGGGATGCTGATATATCTGAGGGTACACAAGAATCAAAACCCCAGAAGAGAATAGTCATATCAGAAAATGCTGACAACCAATCCAAATATGATGAAGACAGTATCCCTAAGAAAAAACCAAAGCTTGATGACTCCAAAGCTAGTACATGTACTGCAACTTTAAATATAACACTATCTTACAACATTGAATCTATGGACTCTGGATTCAACTCTTCAACATCAAGAAAGAGAGGAAGATCAAATGAATCAAATGAATTAGACTCAACTCTGTGCTTTGATGCAACATTAGACTTGAGAAACATCCCAGTGGAGAGAAGGCCCAGCTCAATTCCTAACAAGAAACGGAGATTTGATAATGACCAGCATGATTATGGTGATGGAGATGTTACACTAAAGAACTAGATGGATAGCAGTTTTCAAGCATTTGTTCAGTGCATTTTCCCTTCTCTGTAGATGTTTGATTCAGTTTTCTTCAGGATCCAAACAATTTAGGGAAATTAAATGAAATGATTTCAAGTATCTGCAGATGTAAGGAAGGATAAATAAGTGCACTGAATAAAGCTTTGAAACTGGATGACACATCTATTGATTATTCAATAGATTGTACCCAAGATAGAAATACAACTCTTGGATACAATCCACTGAGAAAGAGAAGTATAGTTTTGTAAATAAACTAGCATAGCTTGCTTAAAATAGTACCATTGCTTGTATCAAATACACTGTATGTGTGTAGGCTACACTTGTCAAATGGTCAAATCAAGCACAGGCGCCAAGTAATGGTCAAATCAAATACAAGTGACAATTAAAACACAATGTATGCAGCTCATAAAAACTTGAATTTGATCATTTATCATATACACTGAGTCATACAATGTTACAGCATATATTGGACAAATACTCCGGCTTACATTTTTCTTTATGTTAGATGCTGTTTGGCAGAGCAGGATGGCAAATCTCAATAAAGGAAAAGGACTCTGTGTATTAACATATACACATTATAGTCAAGGTAAGAATGTAAATTAACAGTACATTTATACAATCATATTGAAATCTCTGAATAATGCCTTTACTTCTTTGCACTGCTTATGGGTTAATATAACAAATAGCATTTAAACATTTCTAAATGCTTAATATGAAAAATATTGACACCTTTCCTCTTTGCTGAAGACAAAAAGAAGAGTCTCAATTCTAAACAAAACAAGTTATTCATTTTAACTTGAATGTTTTTTGTTATTTCTACTTTAAGGTCTTCATGATCGGTTGATGTCTGAGTTTGATGAGACCTGTGTCTACACAACAGCTGAGTGTTATAGCCTCATTGACTCATGGTTACCTCAGATGCTGGGTTTAACATAACAAGGCAATGTGTAAATATACATTCTGGAGTAAAAACATTGAACCATCGACAGTGTCAGTGAAATATATAGACTTATAGACTATAATCCACATGAATTTGATATGTGTTCATTTAGAATTTATGAGTTTGTGTTTCACAATGTAAATCCCACACTAGGCAACTTGTCCATGCAAGTAAAACGATTTGCCAATCTCCACTTCATAGGTGCATTCAGGTGTAACAGAGGCACACCTTGGCACAGAGTGGGTGGACCCCCTAATTTTCACATACATGAACTAGCAAGTTTGATATGTGTTGTTTTAGGTTGGGTTCCTGGATTTGGAGATTCTCAAACATGTACCTGTACGTTGAGGCGTTTTTTAAATGAGAGCTTACAAAAGCTAAAATTAGATATCAAATTGTAAGGAAATAATTTCTATAAAGTTTCATTTTTTGCTATGAGGCTCGATTGAGGACACAAATGCATACAAATGGACACAAAGCATACTTTAAAAATATGTATAAATGCAAATAAGAAATAAATCATACGGTACCGTATACTATATATACATATGATATGAATACAACTGTATACACTGTACATCTATTATTGTCTACATTGCATATGCGAGAATTGAAATTAATTAATTTTTTGTCATTGCTGCTATACAAAAATTTAAGATACTCTTTATTAAAAACATTGCCTAATATATCTTATCAAGGTAACCTTGGCCCAGTCTATTTGGCATTTACAAAAAACTGCTGAAAATATTGTACCTTTTTAGGTACGATAAAAACCATAAACCACAAAATACACTTAAATAAGTTGGCATTACCTCAATCAACTTCTCATTACCAAGGATTCTATTGTTGTCTTCAAGTTCGATATCTACAAATGAATTGGTGACATACTTAACAAAATAATGTCAATACAGAAACTGATGACGTATTTCACAAAATGATATCAGTCATTCAAAAGGAAAGTAATATACTTTTATAAGCTTTGGTCAAAATACAAGTAAAGTATTATTGTAAATAAGGTATTAAACTGTTCATTTTGTAAGAGATTTGTATCAACATGTCATCTATTATTCATATTAGTTTTACTTCACATATGAGATGGTAATCATCAATTGCTCTCATTTATAATGAAATAATGTATGCTCCTTATAATTTCCCCGGACTATTTTGGCGCCTTTTTAGAGGTTCAATCAATCAGATTTAATGACTGGAGAAAACCCAATGGAGAAACTCTTGGTAAGAATTTATCCCATTATTTTGTAGTATTTTTAATTAACATAATAACCCCTATACAGCTTAATTACATTCATATTCATCAAGTAGATATTATAAGCTTCATATGCATATAAGTTATTAGATATTTTGATAGAAGTATTAACTTGAAATTATAATCTTAGAAACTTGTCAACTTTTTTATTTTGTAAACAGACATTTTACATTTTGGGTATTACTTCATTGAGGTACATCTTTGAGATAGCATGAATGCATAATATTATAAACAACACAACACTTGTGGCATATCAAAAATTCAAATCTAAATTCAAATCTAAATTCAAAACAACATTTGTTGTGTCCAAAAATGAGCTAGATGTTGTTGCTATGGATATCTCCATGCTCTCATGGAAGGTTATCATAGAGATATCACTTATGTTTTCAATGCTTGTCTCCATGGATTCATGCACTGTTTCCATGGATATAGATGCATGAATGACACAATAAGTAATGTGTCTATCCATTTCTTCTTCTGCGCCTAGATTTACAAAAAGTGTAATGACATCTTTAACTACATGGTCCCTTCCTTTGAATGCCCTGAGGTAGATCAATGGAGAGAAGCCATTTTCATCAGTAGCATTAATATCAGCACCAAATGCAATAAGGAGTTTGATTGCTTCTAAAAGATACCATATCTCCGGAACATCGCCTTCCCTAATACACAATTCTCGTGTAAAATGCATTAATGGGGCCAGCCCAGTTGCATCTTTGACATTGATATTTGCCTTGGGAGGCTCAAGGACTTTTTTTAGGTCCCATACTATAGGATCAATGTCTCCTCCATACTTGGGTATTTTCTCTTTAAAAGAAAAATTCATCAATTTTATAATACATCAAGAAACCTAAAGTGCTCCTGTCTGAAGTATTATGCGGTAAACTCCAGGATAAATAATGCAATTAAGCACACACATCTATAATTTTTTATAATTTTTTATGAATGATATTATACTAAAGATGTAATAATATACAAATAGTGACTGCCATTGAGGGCAATAGTGTAAATTATTTCCCCGAGGGAATATCCTCTACAGCTTAGGGAACTTTATACACGTTGCTTATATTGTATCGTTCACGCACGTCTGTCATGGTGAACGGAGTTGATTTGTGTTTGTGCTCATCCTCCATTTTTCTGTTTTTTGTCTGCGCAGTGATGATGCGCAGACGTTTCCAAGGGTAATAGAAAGTGCAATCGTGACGTCAGCGGGCAATAGTTCAAATGTATATTCCCGCTGACGTCTTTCCGAGGGAAATAGTCAATCTATTTCGGAACACGTGACTAGGTATTGACCAATCAGGATTAGTGTTACATATTGGGTATATAATAATAAATGCTAGCCATTAATGCCATTGGCGCTTGGCAGCATACTTTCTTGTACATGAAATTGTTAAATAAAGACAAGTAAAACAAACAAACCACATGTAGCTATACCTATGATTAAGCAATATCAAAAATTACACAAGCCCAGAGATGGCAAAAAGAAAATTACTAATAGACTATTACATCTACCTTACAAAATTGATTGAAGTTAATTACATAGGTGAATATATTTTTTCAGATCTTCATTCTGATCTATTTCATCATGCAGCATTTCCTGATGATGCTCATGTTGACCATGTTGACCATGCTGACCACGTTGATCATGCTGACCATGTTGATCATGCTGACCATGTTGATCATGTTGATCATACTCATCACCTTTTTTGGAAATGATGAAAATAATATTAAACTGATCTCTGACCACATCATTACTATTATGCAAGCAGTACTGGATATCGGGTAAAACATTTCATTAAGTTCAAGTTTATTTGGCCAATCTTTATCATAATATAGTTAGTTTTGGTAATTAACATTCATGTATGACATACATATATACATGTATATAGAATCATAAGACAGTGGTATTGAAGAAACCATATTAAAACAAAATTTCCATCAATGAACAAGATGTTTAATACAGATCATCATAATATTTTTCTAAAATACATACATAAAGTATCAGATAGAGGTTCAGAAATAAGTTCAGATTATTTTAAATCGACTGATACACAGGTTGAACATATTAATACCTTATATTTTCTTAAATCCAGGGATACTTACAATGAAGCTACCAAAACTGTCAACCCCAAAAGAATGAGATCCAACTCCTATACTAACCATGGAGATTCAAACCCAACAGTCAATTTCCGAGATGATACCAGCAGGGATACTAACACCCAATGTCACCCTAATGACAGGAGTAGCGGGGATGTTGTCTCAATATTAGTGCATGAAAATCAATGTGGATTTATTAAAAAATGTTCTAGTAGCGAAATTTTGAGAGCCAGTAATGATGTTTTTGCTCATTTAGATAATGAAGATAAACAAGGGATTATATTACATGTATTTGAAGATTACTCAAAATGTTATGACAGTATTTTTAAAGATTTTATGTGTGACTCTCTTTCAATTTTTGGATTTAGTGAATATTTTATAAGCTATGTAAAGCAAATCAACAATAACTGTATAAGCTGTATAAATTACAATGGATGGATTCATGGTAGAATTCAACTAGATAAGGATAAAAAGCAAGGAAACCCCTTGTCTCCTGTAATCTATGATATATTGTTAAAAAATTTATCTTGTAACATTTTTCAGAACAGAAATGTGATTGGTGTTGAACTGCCAAATGGCTCAGAATTTAAACTACTGCAATATGCAGTCAATACAACAATATCTATTCAAGATGAACAATCATCAAAATACATTCTTAAACTATTTGACAGTTTTGTCATAGTTTCTGGATTAAGATTAAACAAAACTAAAGCATTATGGTCAGGAAAATGGAAGTCTAGGAAAGAAACTATTTATCATGTAAAATGGAAAATTTATAGAAATAACACATTTAAGATTTTAGGTATTACATGTATGTATCGAACAGAAAATGTCATGAATATAGCTGATGGTATAGAACCAAGATTTGGCAAATGTCAAAATGTATTTAAGATCTGTTCAATACGTAATATAACTTTGTTAGGTAAAATCGCATCGATTAAATCCTTAGTTTCCTCACAATCCATGTATTTAATGCAAAGTTTTATATTTCATGATGATATAAAGAGAATGATTACCATGTTTTTCAAGTTTATACGGTCAAAAAATGTTAAAAGAGATTTTATGGTCCAAGTAGATTATAAAGATGGAGGTTTTAAAATGACTGATATGCATGATATGCAGGCCTCATTTATTTTGAAGTGGATAAAACATATTGTACTACCAGGTAATGGGCATTGGAGTTGTATTCCTAAGTTTGATTATAGCAAATATGCCACTGATCTAAATGCATTTACATGTAGCGGTGAACTTAGTGATTATACAAACTTACCTGAATTTTACAGAAAGATTTTACAAACTGGGCAAAATCATAAAACTGAATCTGAACAATATCTTATCTGGAATAATGAAAATTTAAAAATAAGTGGGAACAATATATATTTTACAAATTGGATTGCAAAAGGTATAAATTATGTATGTGATAGTGATGTAACTAATGAAAGATTAATGATAGAACTATATAGAATTATTGGTAGCAGTAGCAGGGATTACAAGGCAACAACACCTAAATCATGCTTGACCAACATCAGTCACATCAAAACTGCTGTCCAGTCCAAAACAATGAGATTCAACTCATGTAAAGATACACCTCCTCTAAAGGAAGCAACAAAGGTTTATTTAAATGACACTGCTCAAGTCTCGAATTTGAAAAAAAATAGAAAGTACAATGGGGTAGAGGAGACAATTTCAAATTATACAGACAGTATTAAAAATTATAGAACAAAGACAAGACATGGCATTCACCTGGAGGATACAAACATTAAAGCTTCAAAACCAAAAAAGGTTACCCAAGAGGAAACAGAAAAGAAACATGTTGGTACACAAGTTGAATTTCATGGTTTAGACAACGAGAAACCAATAAACTCAAATCCTGAAGATGAAAATACTTCGAATACTGATAGAGTTAAAGGAAATACAATGGGTAAGTTAATTTGAAAACCTAATTTCCAACTTGCTGTTTAAGACACTTCATAATATGTAGACTTCAAGATGTCATATATCATCATGGCCATAAGGAAAAGCTACATAATATGTTGACTCGAATGATAATTATTTTTTAATCAACAGTAACCTTTTAACAATGCTTGCGAAGATAAAAAAAATTGCTACAGTAATATAGATACTGTTTATCCTTTTAGATGATTTTCACAAAAAGTGGATTGATTGTATAGTGGACATATATTCCAAGATACCCTTTTACCTCTCATTAAGTAAATATGAGACCTCAGAACTGCAGAGTGTTTCCCACAATGCCAACAAAAGGGTGTCTAAAAAAGAGTAAGTACAAACAACTTACCTTACTTTTAGTACTTACAATACAGTGTACTCTTATTTGGTATGGCTTTCCTTGAACTACAGATGTACTAAAGTAAAATGCAGCGCTATATACACTATATAAAAACTGGACCATTTCACTATAATAGGTATAATAGGTACCTATACTAGGTTCAATCCATGATGTACCACTTCTAGATGCTTTGGACAAGTTGTATCATCAGCAGAACATTGTTGTTAACAGATTGCTTGAAAGATTTAATTTATCCCAACATGGGTTTGAACTAAAAATATTACTATTGTACAGGTATATAGAGGATATACTATGATTTATGAGTGATATGATTTTTATCCAAGAATGGATATGAGTGACTACAGATATCAATATCCTGCCTAAGTGGATTAAAGTCAATCAACAGTCATACTAATGAAAGTTTGCAACTGTTTATTACTAAATTAAAAATCATCTGAAATTATGTGGTTTTACTCCAAAACAATTTGACCATAACTGTCAGCCTCACTTTGAGTCAAGTAGCATAGATCAAAAAATTTATTTGATGGTTCAGTGAAAATTTGCCAAAATCCCATTACTGTACAATCAGGGGTTTCACTAGAATTTCCCACAACAGGCTACAAATGAAAACAACAGGCAAAATTAAAGGAAATCATTTTAACATGGAAAAGTTGAAAAATCCCTGAAAACAACAGGCAATTTTGTGAAAACAAACAATGAAAATTGCCTGTTGCCTGCTGCTAATGAAACCCCTGACATTTCAAAAATACTGTTTTTATTTTGACATGATGAATACAGTAACTATAGAATAATAATACTAAATATCCCATGTGTTTCTAGGGACAAAGATTCTAATGGATACAAAGGTCCTACATCACAAAGAAAAGGGAAAACATGTAAGTGAATTAGAAACCCTTATTTTCACCTGATTTCAAAAACTCAGACAAATGTTTTAAATGTAACTTTTGTGAAAACATTTAACATCCTTTTTCCATATCATATTAGAAATTTTTGTAGCAATGTGACCAAAGCATGTGTATTATTTTCTGTTATTAATATGACAAGAATTGTTAATTGCAGATAAATCATGGGATATACTTTATGGAAAATTAGCTTCACATATTGGGGATTCCAGTCTTAGAATATCTATTTATCTTGGATTCACTCTAGAAGAATATCAGACATCACAGCAAAAGTGGCCACATTCTCCAATAAATGTGAATATTGACTTATTGACACAATGGGATAGGAAAAATGATGGTGGTGATAAATACAATCTGTTAGCTGAAGCATTCCAGGAATGTGGCAGGAATGATCTTAAAAACATGGTTATGTGAGTATCCCACGAATCAAAATTTAAATAAAGTATTTAAAAAAGTGTGTGAGGATTCCATACAGAGTGTGCAAATGTCAAAGTTGGGACTATAAATAGGGCAAGCCAAAGCTAAGTTTAATTTAGGTATAAGAGGACATTGAGGACTATGATTACATCTCAGACAGATAACAGATATTTACCATATTAGTAAAGTTTTGGCCTAGTGTGACTTCGGATTACCTTGCGTCCGGTATTTCACAACTACATGAATGTCCAAATGATTGACTCAAAATAAGGTCTTAACTTGAAAATACCTAATTTCATTTTTACAATATTTTTACAGGAATGCTTACATACTGAAGTAAGACCTGGATTAAGAATACAAAACTATATTTATGAGAGTGTGATGGTCACCAATCAAGTAATAATGATGAAGTCTGAATACATCTCTTCAATACAATCCAATGAGGCAGAGAAGTATAGTTTTGTAAATAAACGAGCATAGCTTGCATAAGATAGTACCATTGCTTGTATCAAATATGTGTGTAAGTTACACTTGTCAAATTTAATCATTTATCTTGTTACAGTACTGACTATTATATTCACATTAAGTTTAGTTTGCTTTCTGAACATATACGGATTATCATATACATTTGTGGATTATCATAAACATTTGTGGATTATCATTAAACATTTGTGGATTATCATCAAACATTATTGGATACGGACATTATAGGATTACGACGAACATTACTGGATTATTACAAACATTGGAGAACTATTAACAATTATCGAAACTTTCGTGATCTGGAACATTCTAAAGGATCGTCAACGACATTTATCTACATCTACATATCATATGTATTGACTTTTATATATTATTGTTATTGTTTTTAGTTTTCAAAAATATATTACTGTACATTGTTATATTTTAATTGCTGTTTTTACTTTCTGTTATTTTCGAACGTAACAGAAATTGGGGGCTCGTCCGGGATACAACTACAAGCTAAAATATTTTAAAATTCAAAACTTGCACATCTAAATTGTTAGGACAGCAATTAATCGAAAATGAGTTTTGAGGTTGAGACATTTTTAGAAGCGCCCTCTTTGGAGGAATTTGACGATTTAAAGAAAACTGAACTTCTGGCAATTGGCCTGTCAGTCAAAAGCTCATACAATAAAGGTACAATCAAAAACTTTGTACTTCAATATTTGATCGCAGAATCACTTCTGCCTGAGCAGCCAGCCCAACATGTTGACCCTGTTGATCCTATTAAGCTTAAAGAGCTCGAAATAAGAGAGAAAGAGTTAGAAATTCAAAAAGAAAGAGAAATTAGAGAATTGAGAGAAAAAGAATTAGAAATGCAAAATGAAAGAGAAAAAAGGCAACAAGAAATTGAATTAAAGAGGCTCGAAATAGAAGCTAAATCCAAAACTGACGAACATGCTACTATGCATCAACATTTTGAAAATAGGTTTGACGCTTCAAAATTTCTCAAATTTGTACCTAAATTTCAGGAGAAAAATATTGATAAATACTTTACGCATTTTGAAAAGGTCGCTCAGAGCTTAGACTGGCCTAAGTCAGCATGGCCAGTTATGCTTCAGAGTGTATTCATTGGTAAAGCGAGTGAAATATTTGCCTCTCTCTCAGCAGAAGCATGCTCTGATTAT